CAAGGATGTCCACTCTCACCCCGTTTATTCAACATAGTACTGAAGTCCTAGCCACAGAAATCAGACAACATAAAGAAATAAAATGTATCCAAATTGGTAAGGAAGAAGTAAAACTCTATTTACAAATGACTATGCAGCCATCGAAAACCCTAAAGATTCCATCAAAAACCTACAAGAACTGATAAATGAATTCAGTAAGGTCACTGGATACAAAATCAATGTACTGAAATTAGTTGCATTCCTATACACTAATAATGAAGCAGCAGAGAGTGAAATTCAGAAAACAATCCCATTTGTAATTGTGCCAAAAACAATAAAATATCTAGGAATAAACTTAACCAAATAGGTGAAAGATCTGTACTCCCAAAACAATAAAACACTGATGAAAGAAATTCAAGACAATACAAAGAAATGGAAAGACATCCCATGCTCATGGGATGGAAGAACAAATATTGTTAAAATGTCTATACCACCCAAAACAATCTACAGATTTAATGCAATTCCTATCAAATTACCAACAGCATTCTTCACAGAACTAGAACAAACAATCCTAAAATTTGTATGGAACCACAAGACCTCAAATAGCCAAAGCAATCTTGAAAACAAAAAACAAAAAACAAAACTGGAGGTATCATATCCCAGACTTCAAGTTATATTACAAAGTGGTAGTAATTAAAACAGTATGGTGCCAGCATGAAAATAGACACATAGATCAATAGAATAGAATAGAAAACCAGAAATAAACTACAATTATATGGTCAATTAATCTTCAACAAAGGAGGAAAGAATATACAATGGGAAAAAGACAGTCTCTTCAACAAATAGTGTTGGGAAAACTGGGCGGCTACCTGCAAAAAAAACCAAAAAAACTGGACCATACCAAAATAAACTCAAAATGGATTAAAGACCTAAATGTGAGATCTGAAATCATAAAAACCCTTGAAGAGAGCACAGGCAGTAATTTCTCTGACATTGGCTGTAGCAACACTTTTCTAGATATGTCTCCTGCAGCAAGAGAAAGCAAAAATAAACTATTGGGACTATACATTAATTTGTGTGTCATTCTTGCACAGGGACAATCTCTGCATTGTTCCAATTTTAGTATATGTGCTGCCAAAGTAAGCCCTCTATTGGGACTATATCAAAATAAAGTTTCTGAACAGTGAAGGAAACAACAAAACTAAAAAGCACCCTAATGAATGGGAGAAGATATTTGCAAATGACATATCCAAAAAAGGATTAGTATCCAAAATATATAAAGAACTGATACAACATCCAAAAAACAAATAATCTGTTTAAATGGGCAGAAGACATGAACAGATATTCTCCAAAGAAGATATCCAGATGGCCAACAGACACATGAAAAAATGCTCAACATCATTCATTAACAGGGAAATGCAAATCAAAAGTACAAAGAGATATCACCTCATATCTGTCAAAATGGCTAAAACACAAGAAACAACAAGTGTGGGTGAGGATATGAAGAAAAAGGAACCCTCATGCACTCCTGGTGGGAATGCAAACTGGTACAGCCACTGTGGAAGACAATATGGAGGTTCCTCAAAAAGTTAAAAATAGAACTACCCTATGATCCAGGAATCACACTACTTGGTATTTACCAAAAAAATACAAAAACACTAATTCAAAGAGATACATGCACCCCTATGTTTATTGCAGCATTATTTACAATAGCTAAACTATGGAAGCAGCCCAGTGTCCATTGATAGATGAATGGATAAAGAAGATGTGGTATACCTATACAATGGTATATTATTCAGCCATAAAAAAAGAATGAAATCCCGCCATTTGCAACAACATGGATAGAGCTAGAGAGGATAATGCTAAATGAAATAAGTCAATCAGAGAAAGACAAATGCCCTATGATTTCACTCATATGTGGAATTTAAGAAACAAAACAAATGACCAAAGGAAAAAGAGAGAGATAGAGAAACCAAGAAACAGACTGAAATATAGAGAACAAACTGGTGGTTACCAGAAGGGAGGTGGGTGGGTGGGGGATGGGTGAGATAGGTGATGGGGATTAAAGAGTACACTTACCATAATGAAAAAAAAAAACTATTCAAACTTTCCCTAACACTCTCCTCAAAGCTCTTCTACTGTCTGCCCAGTTCCAAAGCCACTTTCATATTTAGGTGTTTATATTATGGCAGTGCCCCACTTCTAGTAATAAAATCTGTATTAATTATCTATCACAGTATAACAAATTACCTGAAATTTTAGCAGCTTAAACTGATGAACACTGATTATCTCACGGTTTCTTAACTCAGGAATTTGGAAGTGACTTAGCTGAGTGGTTTGGGTTCAGAATCTCTCATGAAATTGCAGTCAAAATGTCAGCCAGAGTATAGGCATCCGGAGGTTGACTGAGGCTGGAGGATTTGCTTTCAAGATGGCTCACTCACATAACTATTGGTCAAAGACCTCATTTTCTTGATGACTGTTAGCAGGACTCCTCAGTTCCTCAACTCATGGATCTCTCCATGGGTTGCTTGAGTGTCCTCATGACATAGCAGCTAGCTTCTTCTGGAGCTAGTGATCTGTAGGTGCCAAGGGGAGGCTGCCCTAAGATGCGCCACTCTGGCACGAACATCATTTTGAGTTAAAAACAATCAAAACCCAGTAGAATCAGGAAAAGCTCTTTACATCCCCCTCAACGTGGCTTGGCTTGTACTAGGAAGAGAGTTATTAACAGATTCTTCTTTACCTGATTCTTCTTTACCTAAGTAAGTAATCTATATAATAAGGCAACCTTTGTTTTCCAAATATCTCCTCTCACCTTCTTGCTACTGGTCTTTCTCCCCCTTGTATCCTCAGGTTCCTATCCCTCCCCTTAGCTCATACAAGGCTCCTGTTGCCTCACTGTCTGTAATTTCCATGTCTGTGTGGATTCCCTGTACAAACACTATTAAATGTGATTTTCTCCTGTTAATCTGTCTCATGTCAATTTAATTCTTACTCCAACTAGAAGGACCCTGTAGGGTAAATTATTCCTATCTGACAGATCCAAGAGAGAGAGCAAAGAGGAAGCCGCAGGGCACTTTATGACCTCATCTCAGAAATGACACACCATCACCTCTACTTTATTCATTTGAAGATGTCACTAAGTCTAGCCCTCAGTCCAGGGACAGAAATGAATCTTTACTTCTGGAAGGGAGGAGCATCAAAAAATTTGTGAATATATTTTAAAACCACAAGTTCTCTTGAAGCATTTGATCTAAAGAGACTTAGGGAGGAAAGGAGTTCTTAGCAGTTTTGATGATATAGTAAGAAAGAAAGTCATCCAGACTCAGGATGAGGCCAGTGAACCAAAGGGTAGTCATGACACAGAAGTATTTTGACTCTGAAATTTAGGAGAAATTGGGAAAAGAGTCAAGTCAGTTTTTTGCAATTTTTACATGTGTCTCTCCCTTTTAACTTAAAATTACATTTGAAAATTGCATATTCTGTCATCATGTCAGATTCTCAATACCACAGGGTAACACAGATACACCTATTTTCATACTATTTTAACTACCACGACTCCAAAAAGTTTTCCATCCTTGATATTAGAGCTTCCTCTCAAACCTCACATCCATTTCCTTCATCCAACATGTCCATCCCCTCTACCTCTGAGCTAAAGAGCCTCTGAACTTACTGCCCTCTGATCACACATCTAGAGTCCCTCCTTCACCCCCAGATTAGTCCCCAAGCCCCAACCTCAACAACCAGAACCAAAAGCTGAAATTCTCTTCTGTCTCTCCTCTGAATTAAGACTTTGTCAATAATTACCCATTTATACCTCATCTTTCTAAAATACAGATATAATTATGTCCTTTTCTGTTTAAAAATAGAGACTTAAGGGATGCCTGGGTGGCTCAGTCGGTTAAGTGTTTGCCTTTGGCTTGGGTCATGATCCCAGGGTCCTGGGATCCAGTCCCTCATCAAGTTCTTTGTTCAGTGGGGAGCCTGCTTGTTCCACCTGCTTGTGCTCTCTCTCTGGCAAATAAATAAATAAAATCCTTTAAAAAATGGAGACTTAAATGGCCCCCCAATACCTATAACAAAGTCTATAAATGGCCTTCAGGAAATCTGTGAATTCCTGACATTTTTGTCATAGGTACATCATTTGGGGAACAAGCCTATGGCTTTAAATGGATCCCCCAAACAGTAAGTTACCATAAAATGTCAAGAACCACCAGCTTCCAGGAAAAAGGCCTGACTCAACAAGGGGCAAGAGAATCATCAGAATTTGACTCCACCCTTCCTTTCCCTTCCATATCTTATGTCATAGCTATGACTCGTCTTTCCCTAGTCTACCTGTATGTTCATGCTTCCTTGCCTTTGTTTCTGCCTTTCTCTCTGCCTAGAATATCTTGCTTTCTTTTCTGCTAGGAAAATTAGTATGCATGCCTTGGAACCCAGCTCAAATGTCATATCCTGGGGGAATGAATGATCTAAGCTGTAATGCGTTTTGTATATACTTCTAACATAATTGTAATTGTTTCTTCACTCTTCTTATTAACCCTGGACTGAAATGATCATCTCAGAGTTAGAATGAGTCTTATTCAAATTTATATCTCCAAGGCCTAGCATAGATCATACTAGGGCCTACTGTTTGTCGGGTAGGTGGATGGGTGTTAGCTTGGACCACTGCCTGACAGAACAGGGATAACCTCCCTGTGAGCATTCCCCTGCAGACCCCCCATAAACTGAGGACCCTAGTTTCTTCTCCCCCTAGTGCTTTGCTCTGTAGTGAGCTTTGTTCTTTTAGATCTTACTGACCAGTAAAATTTTAAAAATAATTTTGGAGATCAACAAAGGATTGCCAATTTTTAATTTTCCAAGTAAAGACTTTAGAAGAAATTATCACTTACCTTCTCCATCACGTTATAAGAAAAGTCACTTTAAAACCTCAAAAGTATGAAGGACATAATCTCAGCCTAGAAGATAGTCCTTTGAATTAAATACATTTAGCCTTTCAAAAAGCTTACCACATTTACCTTATTTTCTCTCATTCCATGATGAAAAATTCTTGTTTATCAGTTCTAGAATAATGTTTGGAAACCATTGATTTAGACCTTTGCTTCTGAAAGGTGACTCCTGCATTCTTCCTCAGGAATGAGTTTTTGGCCTCATGACAGGGACAGTCCTGTAGGATCTCCCCATGGGTTTCTTGTTGTGGGAATAGAAAGAAGTACCTGGAAATAAGAGACCAACTAATGCATATTGAGCACTTACCATCACAGTTAAAAACTCAAGAATGCAAGAAATGCAACTTTATCTCTTTTCTTACTGAATTTATTTTCTATTTGAATATGTCCCACTGGGTGACAAATATCATCTTAACTTGGGGTCCCTCTCCCTTTCTTTCATCTTTGATCCAGGGGACTGATTGAGTACACAGGCAGGGCTAGATGAAACCTCCCAAGGTCTCAAACACTGATGAGATTATGATGTCTCATATGTAACTGAAAAAATTTTAAATACGTATAGCTCATTATTTCCCAACAAAGTTCTCATTTTTTTCTCTCTCTCTCCTGAAATCATCACTTCAGTGCTTCTTATTCTTTCAAAAACTGTCTTACATTTTGGGGTAGATGCTTTGTTTCCCTGGTGTCCTTGGTAAGTTCCAAGCCTACCAGTGGGGTCATCTGGTCCTGCTCATTGGTCCTTAGCATCCACTTGGATATATTTGATTTTATTGTGGGTCCATACAGATCACCACAGAGTCATTCTCACACACAAGACTGCCTCAGATCTGAAGGCTCTTTATGCCACAGCTGAGCCATTCAGGGTTAGAATTTCTTTCTTCAGTGTAAAACTTTGATCCCTTTTAAAATGCAACACTTATTACTATATCAGTCATCATACTTTGTACAGACAAAGGAGCTGAGGGAATAGCAGGGTGGACAATAGGCAGAGAACAGGAGGACACTGTATCATATTATTTTCCATTGGCTCAAATTCTCTTATTTTTTTTTTTTAGCTTTCCTTTCTGATTCTTGCACTAGATTATAGGGCTACGAGAACAACACATCTATCTTATTTTCATTACTATGGCCCCAGAACCTAGAACAGTGCCTGCCACGTAGGAGGACCTCAGTAAATATTGTTGATCTAATGAATGAGAATGACGGGATAAGAACAACACAAAGAGGTAGAAGAGTGTCAGAGTGAGGGGGCTGGAAGTGCTAAAAATAAACTTCAATTCTTTTACAGTTCTGGTGGAAGTTTGTATCAGTTTTCTCTTGGAAAGTTTCGTTCCACTGAAGCAAGAAATGCCTCCTCCTTCTACCATTCCGTGTGTGTGTGTGTGTGTGTGTGTGTGTTTAGGGTGGGGAGGGGCAGAGTGTTTAGGGTGGGGAGGGGCAGAGGAAAGAGAATGTTAAGCAGGCTCCATGTGGGGGTAGGGGCTCGATCTCAGGACCCTGAGATCATGTCCTGAGCCAAAATGAAGAGTCCGATGCTTAACCAACTGAGTCACCCAGGCTCCCCTCTTGTGTTTTTTTTTTTCTGATTGTTGCCTCTGGTCTAGTTGTTTCTCCTAGCTGGAAAACTAAACTATTTTGGGCAAGCAGTATCAGTATATACCTTTGCAGCTCCCCAATCCGGATACAGAGCACTTTGAGAGCTAAAAGATCCTAGTTTATGGAATGAATGAATGAATGAATGAATGAAACTTGAGTCTGAATATCCAGAGAATCTCTGAGGAATGGGCTCCCTCTTGGGGCTTAAGGCCAAAGTGGTGTCTCTCAGACTGAGTCTTATCCAGCCTCAGCATTCCACATCCACTTCCTGCGGGGGCAGCACCTCCTAGTGGAAGTCCAGGGGTGCTGCCTCCTCCTTAGATGCCCCAAATAGGGCCTCTTGGTGACTCTCTCCCAGAGCTCCATCTTGTCATCCTCAAAACCATATGTTACTCCCCTAGATGAGGTCCGGTAGACTCTAGCAGGTCCCTTCTAGTAACCCCAAGTACCGACAAGGTGAACAATGAAGGGCTCCATTCCAGCCGAGTGTTCTAGACAACAGCAGCACTTCTCAAACTTGAATGTGCAGATGAATCACCTGGGAAGGATCTTGTTAAAATGAAGATTCTGATCTAGTAGTTCCGGAAGCTACCAAGGCTGTTGGTCCAGTCTGTACTGCACCTCTGCAGTGACCAGCCCCCAGATGCACCAGGTGTGACCCGGAAGCCATGGGGTTGGCTGTTTATGCAAACACTGAAGCTGATAAATTACAGTTGTCCCCTTCAAGGCTTGCCCCTTAAAAGTCAACACACTGGGGGCACCTGGGTGGCTCATTCGGTTAAGCCTCTGCCTTCGGCTCAGGTCATGATCCTGGGATCCTGGGATCCCCTGCTTGGCAAGCTCCTCCCTCTCCCCCTACCCCATGCTTGTGCTTTCTCTCCCTCTCTCTCTCTCTCAAATAAATAAATAAAATCTTTTTTAAAAAATAGAATACTGTGTGTTAACTATACTGGAATTAAAATTAAAAACTTAATAAAAATAATGTTTAAAATAAAAGTCAACACACTGATACCAAAAAATATTTTGCTGGAATGTTGCCTAAAACATTTTTGGAATGTTCGTTGAAGCCTGTTGCACCTTAAAAACTCAGTTTTTCTTTTTCTTTGAAGGTGGATTTAAAAGCAGTCAAAAAAAAAATTCCAAAATAAAATGTGACTATAAATATTGAGATGGATTTACTTATATGACTTATAAATTAGACCTGAAGGTAATCCCCAAACAAGAGTTCCAAAAGTATTTGGGGTAGCTGATTGGAGAAAGTGGAATGTCTACTTTGAAATACAACACTCATTTAGCTGCTTAGTACCACTGCGGTCCTTTTTAAGTTGTTGATTTTATTATGTCCTTTTAAAGGAGTTGATTTCATTACTAGTTTATTTAAGCAAAACAAATAGGGCTTAGTGAGTAGCAGGCACTGTTGCTTTACAAATATTAACTCATTTAATTCTCATAATAAGCCTGCTTTTATTCCCATTTTACAAATGAGAAAACTGAGGCACAGAGACATTATGTGGCTTACCTAAAGTTACCCCGCTAATTAAAGCAAGAGTCAGGATTCAAACCCTAGGGAGCCTGCTTCCAGGTGTCACTGGCTTAATTATTAAGCTATGCTAACCTTAATTAGAGTTAGGACTAGCCTAAGGAGTGTCAGCTACTACAGAGTCCATCAGAAGGAAAAGAAAAAAATTAAGTGACTTACAATGGAGACAGGAAGCCTACAAAAAATAACAAATCCAACCCAAACAGAAACAGCTGGAGCTGGAATGTGTGAATAGAGAGGTCTTACACCCCCTGTCTCCTTCCTGGTTCTGATACCTAGGAAAGACCTCAAGGTGGAAGGGATAGCAAGTTCTCAGGTCGACCTTCTGCTATTCTATTCTCTCATGCTCTGAGCTGTCTGTTTTGTGGCTTTAAACTCGTCAAATTTAGGGAACAGGGATCTGGGAGACCCCAGGAAATTACAGCCTGCCGTAGTGTCTCGCTTTTTACATGCTGTTCAGTGAGTCTTTGCTGATGGATTGTGGGTAAAGGGGGCCCAGCCCCAGTGAAACGTCCGTCTCTTCCAGGAATGCTTCCTGACTTGCCCTGCCACCTCCAGGTCCCCTGAGAGGAGCTGGAGAGGCTCATTCCTCACTCAGTCCTACCTCATTCCCTCCCTGACAGTGACACAGCCGCCAGCAGCCACCTGAGAGCCAAATCCAAAACTCACTACCATTTTGCCTAACGCCAAATGACAGACCCGAATTTGTAGAGCTCGGATTTTTTAAGTGCACATAAAACCAACTAACAAATGAAATTTGCCTTTAAATCTGAGGTAGATTAGGAAAAAAAAAATCCGCCAGGAGAAAACACCCTCTCATGTAGGAGGCTGTGGAAGTGGAGGCCACAAGCCCCTCGTTAGCACCCCTCACAGTGGGTATGGGAAACAGTGCCTCTAGTGTGGTCATGTTTTTCACTGGTCACAGGATCTGAACCAGAAATGGTTCACCGTATTGTCTAATCTGCATTCTTCTAATCCTTCAAAAATGTTTGCCCCTTGTTCCTATAACCCCTACACTCAAAAAGTATTGAAGTTGTAGCAGGGTGAGGCTTTTCTGAGGATCTGGTGTACGGTTTGACCATTGACAGCGGCCAAATGAGTTAAGAGTACCACACAGAACGACGTCCTAAAACAATCATACAGCGGGGAGGATGGAGGTGGGCAGCTTCACTCGCTCTTAGAGAATTAGAAAGAGGGATTCAAGTCCCAGAGATCCGCAGAACTTCTGTCCGCTTTTGCCGCATTCTAATTTCGGCCCTAAACCTAACCTACTATTAAAGGGGGCAGTCGGGGCACAGCCGTGGGAGGCAATGTGGCTTCCCAAATCTAAAAAGGCGCCCTTGCCGTGCCATTGTTCCCACAATGCCGTGACTCGGATTCGAACCGAGGTTGCTGCGGCCACAACGCAGAGTACTAACCACTATACGATCACGGCGAGCTACCGGGACGCCACGGAGCTCTGGCTTCCGAGTGTGGGCCTTCAAGTCTAGCCGGCCGCCGCCTTAGCCTTCCAACGTCGCCCGCGCTCTGCCAGGCCTGCCTGGCCCTCTCGCTGACCCCGAAGCGAAGAAGGGGCGCCGTGGTCTCCCCCGCCGGTCTCCGCCGGTCGTGCGCACCGATCGTAAAAGAAAGGACGGGAAAGTGCTTTGCAAACGAAAGGGTTCCTAGGAGGCCGGGACGCTCCCGTAGCCTGTAAGGATGTGATGCCCCGGTGTCGCCAGAATGCCCCGGGGTCGTCCCGCACACACCCACCAGGCCCCGGCGCTCACGGTATGTGAGCGGATTCCGGCTGGGAATGGTCTCTCGAATTCTACAAGAAGGAAAAATCAGTTCCGACCCACCCGCACAACTTCCTTCGAGGCGCGGGGGCAAGGGAAAGCTCGAGCGCAGCCTCCACACGGGTGAAGCGGCCGGATCTGGCCCGCGCCGAGCGCGGACTGAACTCAAGAAAGCAGGGAGACCAGTGCGTCTGCGCGCGCGCGAGGCGAAGCGAAGCCCCAGAGCGGCGGGAACAGATAATGACGTGACGAGGGGGCGGGGCTCTCAACACAGAAGGACTCAGGCGAGGAAACCGAAGGACGAATCCCCAGTAGCTCGCCGTGATCGTATAGTGGTTAGTACTCTGCGTTGTGGCCGCAGCAACCTCGGTTCGAATCCGAGTCACGGCATTGCGAGAGCAATGGCACGGCAGGGGGTTCGGGTTTTTATCGCCGTCCTCCATTTTTATTTCGAATTTGTAACAACATTCTCGAAAATGGATCCCAATCCTCTTGTGACAGCTGGAAACGACGTTTACGTCACGCCAGCTCTGGCTAAATTGGACTTCCAAAGAATATAGGCTTCCGGTTACTCAGCCTACCCGCGATGCCGTTCAGTGCGGACAAAGCACAGAGCACTCACAAGGCTAATTGTTGTCATAGGCATATGTACGAATTTCTATGGCAGCACTGGAAAAGGACTCCCAACCATAATAGAAAGAGAAGGCTTCGCAGAGGAGGTGACTTTTGAAGTAGCTCTACAGGCAGAGAAGGAATTTGCCGAGCAGCCAGGATAATCTTGTGGGCAAAGGTATGAAGGAGGTCTCAAAAAGGAACTATCGGCAATTCTTTATAAATCTTCTCCCTTCCCCACCTCTAAAGGACCTGTTGAATGAATGAATGGAAGTAATTCAGGAATGGGAAACGACGCTGAGGCAAGGCCAAGGGCTGGAAAAGGTGGACGAATTTCCTGCAGTCTGTGGGTGGGGGTGAGGGGTGGAGGAGTGAAAGGATTCAATTGGTGTTTAGTAACACCCCTCCGGTGACTCTGCAGGGGGTGGGGGTGATGATTAGAGCAGACAGATGGTCACCGTGGATTCTCTTGTTAGAACCAGTGGCACCTTCTCAGTTTAGCAAAAAGCCTCTGCCTACTGTGGACTCGGCCTGGTTCTAAGCGTCGTGGGGGCGGGAGCACTGATGGACAAGAAGAAAAACCGGACTGGTGCCTGTTGCCGCCCGGGGCACAACCAAGGTGGGCACCGGGTCCTGCGGCGGCAGTACTGTGAGGGAGGAGTCAGGGCCGTCGGGGCAGGAACAGAAGCTGCGAGGAAGTTGGTGGGGAGGGGATCGGCAGGGTGAGATGCATTCATTGAGCCCCTTCTACGTAGCCAATCGGTCCTGAGGGCGTCCACATCCTCCACCGAGGCGATGTTGGGTCACTTCTGGGGGAATCAGCAAGGACGAGAACCCCTTAGGAGCGTCCCCTGCAGACCCTCCCAGGCACAGGAGATGGGCATCTTCCTAGGAATGGGAATCACACAACTTGTGAACACTGAGTTCCGGCCAGTCCCGTCCCTGGATGCCCAAGTGCCCCCCCCCCCAAATCCCACCCCATTCCCATAGAACCCACCCTTCCCCACCGCAACATCACCATTTCTGTGGCTAAGGGACCAAAACCTGAGAGAACCCGAGCAACTGGCCAGAGCGCAATGCGCCTGCGCATTCTCAGATTCAGTGTTAGGCTGGAACTCCGCCCCATAGGTGGGTCTCTCGGTGACGTGCACACTGCGAAGGCCTATGACTATTGAAGAGGACAATCAGAAGGCCATCCTTACAGGTCCCCGGTAGCTCGCCGTGATCGTATAGTGGTTAGTACTCTGCGTTGTGGCCGCAGCAACCTCGGTTCGAATCCGAGTCACGGCATTGTGGGAACAATGGCACGGCAAGGGGCTCGTCTTTTTAAATTTTTCTTCTTGCGGTCGATAATGTTTTATAGAGATCACAATTCGCCTTCTTGAAATGAACCACCGCGTCTTTCTGCCTTGAAGAGTGAGCCACCCCTAAGATCGCCACCTCCAGTAATTCTCACTTAATGCTGTGAATTCAGTTTCACAGCAGTTATAATCCCTTCCCTCCTGAAGAAATTGAAAATCGGTGTCTAAATCATTCTACAGCAGCAAAACAGCGCCCCCATGACCTTGCGATTTTTTCCTTTTTATGAATTTTTTAAAATTGAGTTGTTTATGTTTAAATAGAGAATACATGCGCACAAGTCCAAGGAAAAGTAAGTCTCCCTCTCATTCTTCACTTCATCCCCCAGTTATTGCAGTTTCCTTCATATCTTTCCATGACAGCCCTTGTATAAACAAACATTTATATAGCATATATGTATAAAAATATGTCCCCCCCCTTCTTGCATAATACAAATGACTTCTTCCCTTCCTTGCCCTCACCCCCAGAAGTCAGGCAGAACTTGAGGTGATATATTTGCACTAATAGGCAATCTCCCTTTACAAGGAAGAGTACACATACAGGGAGGGAATATCTCCCCACTGATCCTGTCCTTTTTCTCCCTAGGCCCTGGATCCTGGCTGGGGTAGGTGAGGGATGGCTGGGTTGGTGAGATAGAGGAAACAGATACCTTATTGTGCTTATAAAAACCTTTGGATGGGAGCCTGGGCTCTGTTGAGAAGCAGTCCTATTTTGATTTCACGTTGGAAGGGCAGGGTAGCATCCTAGGTTTGGGGTTGGGAAGACGGACTTGACTTGGTAGTCCATTTGGAGACCCTTCACTTCCATCTCTCTGTTATCTTATTATGAGGATCAAACTTAAATTACAGGCCACTAGAGTTAGAAAATTCAAGTTAATCAAAGGTAGAACTGAATCTTACTATGTATATTTTCCAAGCATACAACCTCTCCATAAATATTTGAAGAGAGGTTTCTTATGGAGTCCATAAATGAGTGAAGTGGGCCAGTTTACTTCATGATTGTACCTTACGTTGTATTCTTTCAAATACATGTTATCTTCACATCAGACAAATAGAAAACTTGGCCCAAATGAAACTCCATCTCTATCTAGAATCTCAAAGAAGAGAGTGCATGTGTGAGTGTACTAAGATACGTTTGCCCTCTCAAGTTTGTGAACAGAGATGGGCCTGAGGCAAGGCTGGAGACAGAAGACAAGGACCAGTCTTAGAAGAAGGCAAAACCCAGAAGGGATCAGAACTCAGGAGAGGACTGGGCATCCAAACTTAGACAAAGAGAAGTGAGGACACCCCACTTAGTACCCACTAAGAAAAGTAAGGGCTGGGGCGCCTGGGTGGCTCAGTTGGTTAAGCGACTGCCTTCGGCTCAGGTCATGATCCTGGAGTCCCGGGATCGACTCCCCGCATCGACTCCCGCATCGACTCCCGCATCGACTCCCGCATCGACTCCCGCATCGACTCCCGCATCGACTCCCGCATCGACTCCCGCATCGACTCCCGCATCGGGCTCCCTGCTCGGCAGGGAGTCTGCTTCTCCCTCTGACCTTCCTCCTTCTCATGGTCTCTGTCTCTCATTCTCTCTCTCTCAAATAAATAAATAAAATCTTTAAAAAAAAAGAAAAGAAAAGTAAGGGCTAAGAACTAGGCCTTGGGACATACACAAATGTAGGAGGTTAAAGGAGGAAGAGGGTGTGGCCTGAAAGAAAGGAGAATCATAACAGTGTCATTTAAGGAAAGTTTGGGAGAAGGAGGTTTCAGGGATAGAGGTCAGAAGATTCAGGTGCTGCAAAAAAGAAAGAGGAATAAGATAAAATCATTGGGTTTGACACTTAGAAGTCATTGTTGACTTTAAAAACCTATGAGACCAACTAGGCAATGTGTATCAAGAGTCAGAAAAAAAAAATGTACACCCTTTACCCCAATAATTCCATTTCTGGGGATCTTGCTAAAGGAAATAATCCTAAACTTGGAAAAGGTATCTGCATAAAGATGTTTATTACAGGGTTATTTAGAAGGGAAGAGAGTGCAAATACCCTGAATGCTCAACAAATAAAGTAAGATTGAACCAAAATAAAATATGTTCATTTGATGATATATTGAATAGTTTTTTTTTTAAAGTATCAAAAGTACATAAATGAAGTATTAGGTCAACCTTTATTTTTTTTTTAAGATTTTATTTATTTATCTGACAGAGAGAGACACAGCGAGAGAGGGAACACAGCAGGGTGAGTGGGAGAGGGAGAAGCAGGCTCCCAGCTAAGCAGGGAGCCTATCACGAAGGACCCTGGAACAATGACCTGAGCCGAAGGCAGACGCTTAACGACTGAGCCACCCAGGTGCCCCTAGGTCAACTTTTAAATACCATTTCCAACCAAAAGGAGTAAGGTTCCCTTAAAAAAAAAAAATGACTGATTATAGGTCTACGGCAGGGGAAGCATAAGTCTGAAATATTTTCTGTAAGAAAGAAAGTTAACTGCTTAAAGATTGATGGGACCAAGTCAAAAGGACACAGAAGCCTCTTTAAAGGGCTCCTGTTGGCCAAATTTGGGACAATTTGAGCATCAAAAAGTAATGAGTAATAATAGTAACGGATTATATCACACTGAATAGGTAGACAGAGAAATAGATAATTTTTGAGACCATGGAGATGAAAGAGAGAGAGAAACAGAGAGGCAGAGAGAGAAGCAGCAGCAGCTCTTCTTTACAAGAAAATGCCAGATAATAAATGCAGAAGAAATGAAAGAATTAGAGTCACCATTTTGCAATCCCCAACATCATGACAAATAGAAGGAGAGATCATCAGTGGAAGCTAAAAACCATTGGACAAAACATTGTTGGGAGCAAATAATCAAGGATATCTCAGGATATCCCAACCACAGCTTACTTTAAATTGTAAAGGAAAGATCTGATGGACTCCAAATTAACCAAGTGATTGAGCCCAGCATCACCAATGAAGGGACAAATGTGTGCTACCGGCCTGCCAGTGTAATATAGTGGGAAGTCCACAACATCCCCTATGTAGTGGTCCTTTCCAAAATGTCTAATCTGAGTCAAATCAGGAGGAAACTGGAAAAACCCAGAATGTGGGACATTCTACATGACAACTGCCCTGGATGCTTCATAGTGATCAATGTCATGAAAAACAAATAACAACGATAAAATAGGGGAACTGGTCAAGATTTCAAAAGACTAAAGAAACTTAACAAACAAATGCTATGGGAGAGCCCTGATTAAATCCTGAATCAGGACAAAAAAATATGTATATAAAAGACATTTTGGCAAAATGGAAAAAATTTAATATGGACTGCATAATAAACAACACTATTGTGGACGTGTTTGAATGGCCCTATAGAAGAATTCTTTATTTTTATGAAATGGCAGCTGAATTATTTACAGCAAAAGTGTCATGATATTTGCAACTTGCATCAAATGGTTAAGGAAAAAAGAGAAAGGGATAAAGTAAATATGGCAAAATGTTAAAAAGTAGTGAATTTAGGTGAAGGGTATACAGATTTCCACTGTACTTTCTTTGACCTTGTCTGTAGGTTTGACATTTAAAAAAAAATTTGGAAGAAAATAAAGTTTACATAATAAAAATGAGGGAAACTATGCAATGTTAAGTGAAAAAAAATAAGGACATAAAATTGTGTATACCACAATTATAGCTATATAAAAATAAGAACAAGAGAAATGATCTTTATTCATTTCAACATTTGTTAAGCTCCTGCCACACAATAGGCTCTGCACTAAGAGATGGGAGGACCCTGCTCCCCTACAGAATCCTGATTTTATGGTGTAATACTTAAAATGGATGACTTTGCATCTGGCAAACCTCACTCAAGACTCAGAGAGCCTTGCTGTGATGACCTCACCTCTATACCCTGGTTCCTAGCAAGCTGCTTGGCCCCTATGAGGTGCTCAACAGCCTGCTTCCAGGAGTCCACTCTGGTGAGGGAAGAAAGTACATTAACAGATAATCTAAAACAGGTGTACAAGTGCAAGGTGTACACAGGGTATTAATTTTAAAATTATCATTTAAATTCTACTTTTATGATATCCACCCCCCTCCTCATCTAACATTTTTTTCTATTCTTTTCCACCAGGTATACCCCGCTTCTTTATGCTGCTTCCTACCTCATTGCTGTGGCTCAGCTCATGCTGGCCTCATAGCTTGGAGTAACCTTTTGTTCTTTTGCTTCATCTGCCCAAATCCTACCCAGCTCAGGTCTACCTGCCCCATGAAGCCTGCCATCTTTTGTGTAGACTTGATTGATTCCGTTCCTCTGAGCTGTCCGCAGCTTAACTCCCTACTTCTTAAACAAACATGGCTTCATTTGATACCTACCATTGTAAGCATTTTACAGGTTTCAGAGCATGTTCATTGTCCATCATCTCCCCTAATCTTCCCACAACAGTTATTATGCCCTCTGCAGATATAAGGAAAGTGAGCATCAGTTGCACTGAGTACCTTGCCCAGAGATCAGGCTAGATAGAGCCTGCAACTATTGGACTCCTGAGTCAGTGTTTCCTACAACCCTACTACTCCAAGCGCATGTGTATGTTTGGGGGTGGGGGTGGGGACCAGCAGCATCTGTATAACCTGTGAGCTTGTTAGAACTACAGTCTGGGACCCCACCCCAGCTAGACCTACAGAATCAGAAACGGCAGTGTAACAGGTTTCCTAGGTGATTGTGTTCACATTAAAGTTTGAGAAGCATTGTCCTATGATGCCAACTAGAATAGGCACAAAGCAGAAACCCAACAAACATTTCTCCAAATGTTTTGACCTGGGCCCTGGGATTCCTAGGGGATTCACAGTTTTGCCATTACATCCTTCTCTTACTCCCCCCACCTCTGAGCCCCCTTCCCTTTGGGGCCTAATGTGGCTCTTTGCTCCCTCCCATGGCAAATGTGAGCCCAAGGGTGAGAGAGACTCTGAGGCAGTGCCCAGGGGGATGAGGATGATGTGAAGCTGCTACCTCCCCAGCAGAGCCAAAAGCAAATGTTGGCGTTTGCTTCAGGGCTACATTATTTCTGTGGGGAAACTGGCTTTATTTCTAAGACAAAAATGCCTGTCGCTTGAGCATCCGAGCCTCGAGAGGATAAGGGGTTTGTGACAGACAACATTGGAACTGTTTCTAGACTTGATTTATTGACTTGTCTGTTTCTATTCTGTCACTAACCTGATTGACAATGAAGCCTGGGATTTGACTCGAAGGGATTTCTGCGTGTGTGCACGCTGCCGTCTGGGCCGGGTGGGCCTGCTCCTAGCGGCTGCGCGGGTGGGTGCGAGGCGTTCGTGTGAGGGCTGTTTGCATGTAAGGAGGGCGTGTGTGGAAACGACACGGGAGAAGCAGGTATCACTAGAGAGCTGATTATCTGTGATGTGAGATATGCCTGCCTGGACTGGGAAGCAATGCAGTGGGAGCAGTTGGATGGGAGGAGGTAGGTGGGGCTCCCATGGTACACAGAAGAGAGGGGATTGTTACAGAAACATCTTACGGAACAGCCCCTTCCCTCGCCCTCCCTAGCTTTTCCTCTTGGGATATTTCCCAGTTAGGAAGCCTTGGAGGAAGGGAGGGGAGGGACGGTAGGCGTCCAAGGGCTGGGAAGCCAGGAGTGTCAGGCGCCGCGCGTGAGCTGGGGAGGGGGAACAGATGGAGACAGGTGCGCCCCCACAGGGGCACGTGTGGGGACACGTGGAGGATTCACCTTCAGTCCAGGATTCGCATCCCCTGCCTTGCGGTCGCCCACTTACTTCTCGTGCGTCCACCCCGGCTGGAAACCCGCACCCCCTCTTCTCTTCCCTGGCGGGGGGAGGTAGACCCCGATAGGGAGCGGAACCCCGCCCCTCCCTTGTTACTGACGAGCCCCGCCCCCTCCCGCCGCCCGGCGGAGCTCCGCCCCCGCCCCCGCCCCCCGCCCGGCCACAGAGCTCCCCTCGCTCAGTCTGGCTGGCCCCATGTTACTGAGCGGAGCTCCTCCGGCGGGCTCCGGCCCGGGGCAGCGGGCGCAGGGGAGCGCGGGGAGCGGCCCGGGGGGGTCGCGCCGGGGCGCCGGGGGAGCGGGAGCCGGCCCTGGAGGGGGCGGCAGTGGCGGAGTGGCCAAGTGGCTCCGGGAGCACCTGGGCTTCCGCGGGGGGGGCGGCGGCGGAGGTGGGGGCAAGCCGGCGCCCCCGGAGCCGGACTACCGTCCCCCCGCACCCTCCCCGGCCGCGCCCCCTGCGCCACCCCCGGACATCCTGGCCGCCTACCGGCTGCAGAGGGAGCGCGACTTCGAAGACCCCTACTCTGGGGGGCCGTCCAGCTCCGCTGCTGCTCCAGCCACCCCCGCCGTTCCCGGCCCCACGCCGCCCCCGCGCCACGGCTCGCCTCCCCACCGCCTTATTCGGGTTGAGACCCCTGGCCCCCCAGCGCCCCCTCCCGAGGAGCGGATCTCTGGACCCCCCGCCAGTAGCGACCGGGTGAGTGCTGCGCCGGGGCGGGGGTGGCCGGGAGGAGAGGTGGTAGGAGGTCTGGGGCTTTCAAGAGGGACAAAGGTGGCCTGGCCGGGGCCGGGCCTGGGCCCCTCAATGTCACGGTTCCTGGCGGACAAATCTTAATCCTTGACCCGGGGGCTCGGAGCCTTCAACCACCTTTGTTCAAATTCTCGACTGACTAATCTGGGACGTGCGCCCCAAACTCTGCTTCTGTCCCTCTTATCGCCCCGGGACCAGTGGCCCTCTTCCTCACGGGCTCTGCCCTCCTCATCTCAGTCCTCCGCCTCCTCCCGGGGCCTAATCAGCGAGCTTTTTTCTAACGGATTTTGAGCACCCCCCCACCCTACGCCAGTTTATGGCCTCCCTGCCCTTTGATCTCTGACCCCCCCCGCCCCCCCCCCCCCCCCCCCCCCCGGGCAGAGGCAGCACAGAGCTCCATTGCTCCTCTTCAGGGAGCCCAAGCCTCCTTGCAGGTGTTGGAGCCCCAGGAAGGAGGGCGGGGGGGGGGTGGTGCGCTGGGGTTTCTCCCTGTGGCTACCGCAAGAGCTGGTCTTTGCCTTACCCAATGTGGTCCTGGAGCCAGGTGGACTGTTGTTCTCAGGAAGCCAGAATAAGCGGTATGTAGCTCTCCACCAAGGATACTGACCACTGAGGTCCAGGCGGGCCCACTCCTGCACTACTTCCCTTGTCCCCCCCAGGTAAGGGGGCAGTCAGTGCTTAGAACCTGTTGCCCAGAAGGGGCTGAGCAGCTGAGCCCACTTGTCTCCTCCTGGCCTCCCCTTTACCGGGCCCATTCTGAGGGAGGCTAGAGCCTTTGGGGGACCTGCAGGCATGGGATGAAGGGAAAGCTGGGCATTCACTGTTCTGGAGAACATTCACAGTGCCTCAGAGGCTCTGGTGGAGAAGCCATCCCTTGCCCAACCCCTTTTCAGCCTTCTCCCTCCTTGATAGCTGAAAGCCATCTCCAGGTCCCTCTAGCCCTAAATTCCACGGCAGTGACTCTGTGGGCTGCCCTGGCTCTGTTGTCCCTTCCTCACGCAACCCTGGAAGCTCAGCTCTGGGGCTTAATCCCTTTCTTCAGTGGAGAACACAGTTTTATTTGATTGGAGGGCAAATCCATTGGCTCCAGTGTTAAGCCTTTGGTGGAGAGAGTGCCGTTCTGCCCGATTTCCTGGATAAGAGAGATGTGTCGGGGTCAGAGCAGAAGCCTCAGGAATGTGAATTATTTTTCCCCTAGTTCCTGCCATGGGGCATGACTGCCCAACCTGGGCCAGGATCCTTAGCCTGCAGAAGGAGACTGTGCTTTCATCATGTCCTTCAGCTCCTGTCCTTCCTCATTGTCGCCCACTGTTGGGCGATGTGAGGTGGTGGTGGCAGTGAGGCAGAGGAAGCATTAGGCCTTGTTCTTACTATTGACCAGTTAGTGTCCTTCTCCCTGACCACTGCCCATTGGCACATGGGCCTGAGCTATCCCTGGCCTTCCTCTCTGCAATCTTGGAATGGCCTAACAGGCTACCCCCCAAGCCATGGGCTCCTCTAGGACAAGGACCATTGTCCTCCTCATGTGTGTATTTCCCAAGTGCCTGACATGCTTGGCCTAAAAAGGAGTGAATGAAATACGCCCATTGCTAGGGTGACCTGAAGGTCAGAGACTCCCTTAACTACAGCTCCCTTTTGTACATTTCCCCACAGAGACCCCCAAGGAAGGGGCTGCATCCACACAACTGTGGATGATCCATAGCCGCTTCTCACCGAGGGCAACCATTCCTCAACCTGGGTCGACTCTGTGATCTGTGGGCTGTTCAGACCTTAGGGGCCAAGAGGTGTCTGACTCCTTTGTCAGCTGCAGGGACAGGAATGAAATCCAGCAGGATCTCCCAGGAGCTACACAATCTGTGGTTTCTTTAGTGGGTGTGATGAGAAGGATCCAGGATGCCATCCAAACTGGCTCAGGGGCAGGGACATTGTCTCTGCGGGCCCTGACCTGGAGCCTCCCACCATTGAGAGAGAGCAGCTCCACTCGTTTAGGAGCAGAGTTTGGGGGATCCCAGAGTTTTCCCTTAGGACGAGTCCAGGTTAGGTCCCTGAGCCCCTTATCCTAAACCCAAGTTGCTGTCCCTGAACAGTGAGCTGGCCTGTTGATCTGGAGTTTATGTTCTGTGAGGTGTTTTGTCCCAATTCTCTGTTCCTCTCCTCTCAGCCAGGCAGGTCTTCTTGGCTTTTTGCTTTGGGGTCACTTCCTGAGGTGAGATAGGGACTGCACACCAGGATGTGCCATAGGCTGGCCCACTTTTCTTCTTCTCCTGGAGCCCAGTGGCTGGTGCCAGGAGGGCCCGAACCCTGTGAGAGGGCCTGGGTTGTGAGGTTTGACGAAATGGGTGGAAATACTTCTGTGATGAGATGATTGAGGAGAAACGAGCCCTGTGGAAAGTGAATGTGGGGGGCAGGAGAGAATGGGAATTTAGGCAGGACCCTGAGAGGCCCAGGGAGCTTAAGACAGTTAGTGTCTCCCCATGCAGGGCTCTGGCTGCTGGCCCTCCCTGAAGCCCACTGCCGCATTTGGCAAGGGGGCAAGGGTGCCATCTGGGCAGGCCTGGCAGGGCAGGTGTGGGAGCAGTGGGAGCTGCACCCTGGACCGGGCAGGCAGGGCCTCACCGTCTGGCCATAGGAAGAATTCCCTCATGGTGCTGGGCCCTGTCTGGCCTCCAGGCCACACTTGGGCAGAGGGGTGAGAGAACTGGGCCTTCCTTGCTTTGCTCCCTTTTCTCAGATCTGCAACAGGAAAAACCTGGTCTAATTAGGAAAGGGGGATGGGGATGGGAAAGGGACCCTAATTGGATGAAGCTTTGAGCTGCCTGTGACCATCTGCACAGTGTGTCCTTTGCCTCCATCCTGCCAAGATATGTGTGTGTGTGTGTGTGTGTGACAGAGAGACAGTGAAAGAGATGATGTGAACAATAAGGCAGGCACCCTGGATGCACTGAAACCAGGGCTCTTGTTCTTAGCCCATGGAGAAGCTTCTGGGGTTCATGAACCTCCAGAAATTGTGTGCAAATATTTGGGTGCATGAGCATTTTCTGGGAAAAGGCTCACAGCTCCCAGATTCTCACAGGAGTTCATAGGGCCCAAAATATCAAGAACTTTAAAAAATAGATACACCTCATATGTGGTGTCCATGTGGACTGGGATCTTCCAGGCCCAAATTTGGAAACAAGTGAAAAAACAGGTAGAAAGAGGAAAGGGAAGGAAACTTTGAGGGTGTCCAAAGTCAAACAAGACATCCCTGCCCTGGGATCAGGAGGGCGGGTAGGGGCTGCCGCAGGATCGTGCCTTAGCCAGTGTTCACTGAGGATTTCTATAGCATTAAGTGACACTGGCCTGAGCGCTGAAGGGACTCACCACCTACAAGACCCGGTCCTTGCCTTTTTTGAGTTTGTTCGGTCTTGCTTTAATTTTCCTTATTATGACTTCCACAGAGTCCGGAGTTCTGATCTGTTTATCTTGCACATGTCCTCCGGTGGAAGCAGGGAGAGGAAAGGTGAAGGGACCTTTGTGGCCTGGTTAGAGCTCTTAACCCTTTGGGGCCTGGGCTGGCCATCTTTGCTGCCATTGGTGCTCAGCTTCACTGCTGAGGCCTGCCAGCTCCTGGCGCATTTTATGGCAGGCCCATCCACTCTTCCCACTGCCACTTCCTCACGCTGCGGCACGCACTCTTTCGGGGAGGCATCTGCAGCTTGTTGGCTTGGCCAGTGACTCAGTGACACCTCAGTCAGCCCTGGCACTCCACCTGCTGGGAGCTGGGAACAGCCAGGGCGCTGCAGACCCATGGGACGCTACGCGAGAGCCGCGGGGGAGCCCAGTCCCTGTGCACAGTGAGCCTGCGGTACCTCCAGAGCCTGGGGGCGGCCGCGGGGCTTCGCGGCACCTCGAAGTGCCGCACTCTTGGAGCTCCCTTTGTGGCTGTCGCTGTGAGCTCCTGGAGGACCCAGAGATTTGGTCTTTTCTTCTTTAATGATATAACGGCAGACAGTTACCTCGTCAGTACCTACCGTGTGCCTGGTACCCTTTTGAAGCAGCTGATGTGTTTTAGACCAGTTGCTTCTGACAGCGACCCTCCGAGCAAGATTCTGTTCTTATCCCCAGGTTATCTATAGGGAGACTGAAGCACAGGAGCGTTGAGTCACATTTGCATGGTTTCACAGCTGGTAAGTAGGAGAGCTGAGGTGCACAGCCAGGCAGCCTGACGGCAGGCTGGCTGCCAACACCGTGCCGTGGGGCCGTGGCACCTGCAGACAGGAGACGGGAGGTGTTCACCGAGCATTCGCTGAGGAACAAGGGGAAGGAGACTCAGAGAAGGAATGGAGAGTGCATCCCATGCTGAGTTCACCATTTCCCGAGCCTGAAGGCCAGCACTTGCCACCCAGTCCTGAGGTGGCCCCAGACACACCTTAAAAGGGTTGTCGACATCCATTGTGTGTCTGTGATGTTCGAATGTCTTACAAGCATGACATTTCTTTGTAATTAGAAAAAGATGATAACAAATTTGTTTCATGTGAAGGAGTTTCCATGGCAGATAAAATTGGGAAAGACATTCCAATAAGTGGGAAGAGGGTGCAGAAAGTTTGATCTCGGGAAAGGTAAATAGTATACCATTTCCAAAACTGACAGACTTTCAGCGGAAAAAGGATCTCACGGTTAAATACTTTGGAGAAATGCCGAGTTAAACAAAATTAGACAGCTCTCTTTGCTACACGATTTCTCAGAGCCTTTAACATCCTAGAGTGTATTTTAAATCTACAAGGAGAGGAGAGAAGATGCTACATTTCCCAAGTTGTCTGGAAAATCTGCAGCAAGGCACTGAGAGTCAGGAGACCTGGGTCCCAGTCTTGTCTCTATGGCCACCATCTGTGTACCCTATCAGGCACCTAAACTCTGGGCTTTAGTGTCTGAATAGACGAGATCTGCAGCAGGGGTAACATCTATTGAGCACCGACTGCATTCCAGTCTCTGAACTAAGGACTTTGACGCTCATTGTCCTCTTCCCAGTCCTGTGAGGTAGGTACTAATACCATCCCCATTCTACAGGTGAAAAACCAGAGGCTTCCAGACATTAAATGTCAATTGAAGACATGGAGGAAAGGGGAAGGGATAGACTTTGGGGACCTTGCAGAGCCCAAATCCTGTGACTTGTGCCCCCTCCTAGCTCCCCCTGGACTGGCAAGCCCCATGGGTGGGGTCAGGAACTCCTAGCAGGGCCCACCAGATGGTGGGCCTGCCAGCTATCTCAGGAGAGGCTTAGGCAGGAAGGAGAGTCAAAGCCGGACAGCTGCTCTGGGAGGGGCACTGCCCAGTAGGAACAGGCACAAGAGCCGGGTCTGGAGCCTGCTGGATGGCAGGAGGGAGGGGATCTGGTTGGCAGGAGGCATGGGGACAAGGGGGCGTCTGAGCAGCAGCTACTTGCCTACTAGTTTGGAATTATTTCAGCCTTTCAGTAGCATTCTGTTTACTAGAGGGTTTGCCTAAATATTAGCCCTGGTTTTAGGTGCCTTCCCTGCCAGTTCTTCCCTTCTGCCCTTGAACCAGAGGCTTTGATCCCCATTAAATGTTGGTTCTCCAGACGGCCTGCTCCTACAGCAGCTACTGGCCTGTGAGAGTGGTCAGAGTTGGGGTGAATGGGGATCTGAGAGTCTGTGTCGCTCCAGAAGATAGAGTCTGAGAGAGGGAGGCCTTTTGAGCATCCAGGAAATGTGCACTGAGCGCCTACCTCGTGCCAGGCCCCGTGATGGATGCGGTATACAACGGTGAGTACAGTAGTCAGGTAAAGGTCCCATAAACAAAATAAATCATGATAGAACAAAGGTGTCAGAAGCCTGCGGAGGCAGCCCTCCCCCCACCCCCCGAGCAGTTTTGCCTCCTCACATGACCTAGAAATCACTGGGAAGGCAGGCCTGGCCTCTGACAGGGATCCTATGTGCCCAGGGTGGGTGCCCATCTTGCCAACCTTCCCAGCAGGTGTTTCTGCTTCTGCTCCTGACTCCCAGCCCTGTGGGTGGCTTCTCTGGGTGACGCGCCCAGGGCGGGGGGCTAGTGTTTCCTGGAGCAGGGTGTGGAGTCAGGGATAGAACAGAGGAGCCATTGAGCTGCCCACAGAGCTGCCACCTGGGTGCCCACAGGCATCGTGGGCTGGCCCTCAGGAGGCCCGTGCTGGGCCTGGGATGGGTCACAGCTCAAGTCCAGCCCAGGACTCCAGTGGGAAGGGCTGTTGGGGGGAGCTCTGTAGAGTTGGGACTGGAGCTTAGGCCAGGCACTTCTCACTGAGCAGCTCTGGGACTCAATGCCCCCCCCCCACCTCCCCGCTGGATTCATGATGCCTTTCTCTTCTGAATAAACAAGGAAAAATGCTTCCTTTGTCCATTCCTCCTGTTCTATGTGAACTAACTTAACAAATATCTACCAAGCACTTTTAGGCACTGGGTATTTAGCAGTAAACATGGTTCCTACCCTCAGGAAGCTCATGGTCTACAGGAAGACAGATGATAAAACAAGTATTTACTACACAGTGTAATAATAGCCCAGCACAGAGGCACCTAACCATACCTGGGGGGGGGAGAATGGAAAGGCTTTCTGAAGAAAGAAAATCGTCTAAGCCAGGCAGAGGGAAAGCTTTTTTGGTAAGAAACAAAGCACAGAACTTTCAGGTAACAGAATGATCCAAGGTGGGTAGGGAGAAACCGAAGAAGAAAGCAGAATCTTTAAATCCCTTTAACTTTGGACTTTGTCTTGTGGGCATTACACTGTTTAAGGATGGCACGTCCAGTGACTCAGTTCCTGTTAAGTAGCTGCCACATAGGAGCGTGAGGCTGGGTGCCCGCTGCCAACTCCAGAGCCCCCTTGGTCAGGTGGGTGTGGCTGTGGGTGCTAGTAGGCCTGGGAGGAAGCAGCTTGGGGTGGATTTCTTTTCTCTGCTTCCTGGAGGAAAGAGGACTAGGGGTGGAGAGCTCCAAGGGGAGATAGGCAGTGATCTAGTAGCAACATTTTTCTAGTACCTGCTGTGAGCCGGGTGCTTCTTAGGGCTGGAGAGACAGAAACAACAAAGAACTGTAGGCTAGTGGATCCGCTGATGGTGGGGATGGTATGACCTGAGATGGTGGTCTTCTCAGAAGCAGGTAGAGATTTGAGGGAGGCGAAGGAACTGGGGGGCTTGGGTGGAACAAGGTGGAACATGGTAGGGGCTGAAGAACTGAAGGGGGAGATGATAGGAGTCATTGGGATGTGCTTCAGAGACCCCTAGAGGGGCTTGTGGGGGGCCCAAGGAACATGCATGAGCGGTCTCTGTCGGGGGGGCAATTTCCTTTCTCCATCTCTGCTTTGCTAGGGGTCCCAGATCCACTGACCCTGGACAAGCAGTCACCCCACAGCCTCCCTGCTCAACTGGCTCTTGCAATCCTGATCTGGCCCAGACCCAAAGCCTACACCAAGAATGGAGGAGAGGCAGGAGTGGCCCCTCCTTGTGCCGCGGGCCCCGGAGCCACCTCTTGTCAATGCCTGTCAACTCAGTGTGCAGTGCTTCCCCTCAGGTGCTGGCAGCCCTGGGTGGGCTGGGCTCTGTCTCCGCCTCGGCCTCCCCCCTTCAAGGAGCCTGGGCCCAGCTTGGAGAAAGGCTCTATTGTCCTCAGCTGCACCCCGCCCTGAGCACCTTGAGCTCTTCCTCAGGGTGTGTGGCTTACAGTTCGCTCTGCCTTGACTGGAGCAGGGACAGAGGGTTGGTCATGAACCACTTGGGAGGAGAAAGGGGCAGTGTGGGATGTGGAGGGTCAAGGCTACGCCTTTCCTGTTCCTGGCCCCCAGGAACCAGGGAATTTCAGCAGAGCCCAAACCCTGGCTTTCCTCAGGGCTGTCCTTGGGTGGTCTCTCTCCTGGGATGACCAACATGCCTACTGGTGGCAGGTTGACAGCATAATTTTGCACAAAGGGCACAGATTCCAAATGGGTTCCTCCACTTAGGCGGGATGGTCTTGGGCATGTTGTTCCCTACCTGCCCTGAGCCTCCATTTCCTTAAAATGAGTATAATAATATGCACATGACATGGTGATGAATGTTCTGAGAATAGACCAGCAGAACTGTGCCATGAAATGAGTATTTGGCTTTTCTTTTCTCGATGGTCAGCAAATTTTTCTTTGTTCAGCATCTGGGATTGAACTTGTAGGCATGGACCAAGTTAATCTCTGAGTTGCCTGCTATTCTCCACTTGTTCTTTGAACTCCAACCCCTTTGTAGCCAGCTCTCTGAATTAATTCCCTCTGTTGAACCATCTGGTGTTGAACACCTCTATCGCCCTGCCTGGACCTGGACTGAGGCAGGCCTTAATGAAGCCTCCCCAGAGCTTCATCCTGGCCATTTAACCTAAGGGATGGCCCAGAGGCACAAAATTAACAGAAAAGATAGATCTGCCACTCTGCTGGCAGCCTAGTAGGTGAACCCTGCAGAGGAAGAGCCAGAGCCTGTCCCTGTCCAAGCTCAGAGCCTGCCCTTGGATACCTTGGGCTCTGGGTCTAAGATTCTGTTCAGGACTCACTCCCGTGGACAAAGCATCTGGGGAGAAGCAGAGCTGTCTCTCAGATGTCTGAAGCCTGCTCTCCTCACTGTCTTCCCGCAGTTGGCAATCCTTGAAGACTACGCGGACCCGTTTGATGTTCAGGAGACTGGTGAAGGCCCAGCAGGAGCTTCAGGAGCCCCAGAGAAGGTCCCTGAAAATGACGGCTACATGGAGCCCTATGAGGCCCAAAAGATGATGGCCGGTGCGTGATGGAGTCAGGGGTAGGGGATTGCTCTCTGAAGCCTGGGTATTTACACAACAGGCTCTGGGACCCACAAGACTAAGGACTGATTCCACGATCCCTTCACTGGGTCCTTGGAGACCATGGGTCCACCATGGACCACCTTGGTCCTTGGCCACTGCCTTCAAGAGAGTCATTTTGGAGAAGGAGCAATGACTTGTGGTACCTGAGATGTGAGGCGGTGGAGAAGGCCACACAACCAAAGGTCAGGCAGATAGAGTTAGGATAGTCAGGAGGGCAGGATAGTGGTGTGGGCCGGGGGTCATGGAACCCAAAAAGAGAATCACTAGCTTTAGGGAAGGTGGTGAGCTTGAGATGATGTGATATCAGAGTGAAACATCTTTATGGCAATTGGAACCACATGGCTAGAGAAGAGCAAGCCTGTCAAGGAGTGGGGGCGGAGAGCAATGAATAAGACCTGGTCCTGGGGTGCAGAGCAGAAGTCAAGAGAGGATCCAGGGAAAGATGAAGATAAGATTATGTCAGCTTTATTACTGACAAAGTAGATTGAGAACACTACTTAGCTATGTCTCCACAACGGGCTGCTTAATACTTCACAGAATTAAACTTGCCCACTCAGGCTTAGGCCATGAGGCACAGCTATAAGCCCCTTCATGGGGGGCAGGAGGAGAAAGAGCCAGAAGGCAGAGCTGAGAAAGAGAGCGAGCATCCACTGGTAATCAGATAAGCTGCTCTCCCTCCTTGGGAGAGGGGCAAGGGGGCAGAGAGTGGTCAGGAGTGTTCTTCCATGGGGCGCATGGAAACGTGAGCCGGTAGAGTGGAGGAATCTAGATGCGGAGAGACGAGGCTAAGAGTCCTCAGGTACTGGTGGTGAACAGATGGAATTTGGAGGATGGAGGGCCAGGACCAAGGAGAGCAGTGTAGTGCACAGAAAGGGAGAAGGTGGGAGGGTGACTACCCAGTTTAGATCAGAGGGGTGTGTCCCCCTCGGAGGCCCATGAATGCCCTGGAGTTGTATGTGAAAATTTGCACATTTTTCTGGGGAGTGGCTCCATAGCTTTTACTAGATTTTCACTGGGGTCAACGATCCCAAAAAGAATCACAGAACAGACTAGAAGAACTTCTGGGGAAAGTGGCAAGTTTGAAACGTTAAAGTGAAAGATGTTGATGGCAACTGGAAGTGTATAGGGTGCCATGAGACTGCGCAAGGAGTGAGGGCAAATCAGACCTGGTTCTGGGGAACAGAGACCGAGAGAGGGGCCAGGGAAAGAGTCCAAATAGGGGTGCTCAGAGAGGACGACCATGAACATGACTTGTCAGAGGGGACAGTTTCAAGGAGGGAGTGATCAGCAACAAAGAAGGATTTTCTGATTGTCAAGTGGTATTATTTGGGATGCAAGGAAAAAAATTGGAGCTGAGTAGCCAAGAGGAGGTGGATTAGGAGAGGACCCTGCCTCAGTTTCCAAAATGCGTAAGCCTCATTTCCCAAGCCCTTGCTGGCCATCTAAAGATCTTTTTTCTGTCTTTCACGCTGGTGCTTCTCTACCCCTGCCTCCATTGGATCCCATTGCTTTTTGGAACCCCAGAGGTGTTTTGAGGGCAAGGGACCCCGGATGTGTGGCCATTGGGCCCCCAAAGCCAGTGGCATCTCCTCTGAAGGAGGCTTGGTGTGTTGCTGAGGGCGCTGCCAGAGGAGCTGAGCCGGGCAGCCAGGGCTGCTCTCACACCTCCCCTTCCTGCCTTGCCCTGGCAGAGATCCGGAGTTCCAAGGAGACAGCAGCTCAGCCCCTGCCTCTGTATGACACGCCCTATGAGCCAGAGGAGGAGGGGGCCACCCCAGAGGGTGAGGGGGCCCCCTGGCCCCGGGAGTCCCGGCTGCCAGAGGATGACGAGAGGCCCCCCGAGGAGTATGACCAGCCCTGGGAGTGGAAGAAGGAGCGGATTTCCAAAGCCTTTGCAGGTAAGCCCTGGGTGGAGAGGGTGGGTCTGCTGGGGCCTCTGAACAGCTCTCCAGGCCCAGGGGAGTGGAAGGAGTGGACCCCAGGGGCTGGGGGAGTCCCCGAAGCTGGGCTCAAGGGAAGCATAGTTGAGTGCATCCCAGAGATTGGTGAATTGGGCAGTGTGGGTGCAGGGTCAGGGAACGGGCACGGGAGGATGAAGGGTCTCCCCTGCATCACCACCTCTCAGAGGCCAAGAGGCTTAGGCCACTTCCATCTTTTGGGAGACAGGGCGTATTTTAAAATAAAGAAATTCCCAAACAAGATGATAAAACTTGTGACATGTTAAATACTTACACTTAACAAAAGAAGGCATTTAACTCCCCAGACAATGAAAATGGCTGTGTGTGTAACCTTTAGAGATCCCAGCCCTGAATCAGAGAGCTGTGCCAGACCAGGAGCACCTGTGCCCCAGGGGGATTTCTGAGGAGCAGGAACTGGTGGGGGAGAGGGAGGTTGTGAGAAATCCCCTTTGTTGAATGAGGGTTAGGTTTCTCCTGTCCCAGGCACCCCAGCACCTGTCCCAGGCCTGGAGTCCAACCTGGGGAGGTGTGTGTTGGTGGTCTGAGTGGGTGCTGCTACAGTCTGGAGAGCCTGGAGAGTGCTTTAGCCCCTGGATTCTTGATTCAGTGAGAATACAAAGGGTGGAAATGCCATTCGACTTCACCCGGACTCCCATGGCCCCCTCATCCCTCCTGGAGCTAGACTCAGCTCTCTGCCCTGTCCTCCCCACCCTGGCAGCCAGACTGGGAAACCACAGGTTTCTAATTTGTTTCCTGTAAAGCTTGCACCATGGAGGATGGACCGTTTATCTCCAGAAGTCTCCTTGGAGAATCAATACTGTTTGGATTGCTTAATGGGAAAATCTATGCTCGTCATTAGGAAACCTCGTTAGCAGTCCTGCAGCCACCAGCGGCATCCCTGTCTTAATTGTCAAGGCTCAGGACTGAGGGTGTGGGGGGTAAATTTCAATAAAACATCTGCCCCCACATCGGAGTATTCCTGACAGCCTGGAGCCGGGCTGTCGGTCTCACTGCCCATGACTTCCCAGGCCGTGGGGAAAAGGTGGCAAGTCTGAGGGTGCCAGGAGGCTGTGGGGGCCTGGGTGTGGTGCTGGGAGGCAAGGGCAGCTCGTTGTCTCTCCCTTCCTCCTCTCCTGGTCCCTTTGGGCCCTGGAGGCTTATGAGGGTTCAAATGAAGGGGGCCCACGTGGCTGGCAGTGCAAGACTCTGCATCCTGCTATTTGCTACCTGTGCCTCCCACCCTTGGACTAAGCCAGCCTGGTGTGGTCACTGTGGCTCCATCCAACCCTCTGAGAGTCCTGCTCCCCCCTCAGAAGCCACCCCTGCCTCTGCTCTGACCCTGCTCCTTTCTAGGCTGTCCTGTGTCCTGGCTCTGGGTTTTGGTGTCTCAACCTCTGCCTCTCTCTGTCTCTCTGTCTCTGTCTCTGTCCCTGTCTGTGCCTCTTCTCCCTGCTGCTACTGGTTCCAGTTGACATTAAGGTCATCAAAGACCTACCTTGGCCTCCGCCGGTGGGACAGCTGGACAGCAGCCCCTCCCTGCCTGACGGGGACAGGGACATCTCCGGTCCAGCCTCACCCCTCCCCGAGCCCAGCCTGGAGGACGGCAGCGGTGGGTCTTGTGGGAGCTTCTGGCCAGGGTGACATGTCCTCTCATGCCTCAGGCCCTGCCAGCTTGGGTTGGAGGAGCTGAAGTGGGGCAGGGTTTGGAGAACCCAGGAAGAATCCCCCTTGTCCTGGAGGGAAGAGAGAAGGGACAAAGCACACATTCCTCCTTCCTCCCAGAGGTGTGGGGAAGGTGTCTTCTAAAGGAGTCCCTTTCCAAATATCTTTCCTACCATGCCACAAAAATCCACTATTTTAAATTCACTTCTTTGCATAGGACTTTGCCTGCCCCAATCCTTTGGCGATGCAAATAACTCTCGAGGTGGGGGTGATGCTAGCGTAGGAAGTGTCTGACTCCTTCGAGTAAGGGAAGGGTCTGATCCTTGCATCTGGTGACTGAGAGACAATAAGGTCCTGAAAGTGCTACAAGGAGAGAAAAAGCCTAGATGAGGAGAAAGGAAGCACTGAATGCTTCATCTCTGTTCAGTTTTGTACAGAATGTTTGTACATTTGGGCCTCAGTGTGAGGGCTATTTTGTAAATACGGGATGAAGGAGCGTCTCCATCGCCTGCCCGCGTGTGCCTGCGCTCAGGTGGCCCACTGGCTTCCTCCCTCCCCTGTGCTGGCTCAGTGGTCAGGCCTGCCCTGGTCTGGGAGGGCAGAGCCGCCTCAGCCGGGCTCCTGGGGGGGGGGGTGGGAGCAGGGAGCCTGTGGGCAGCAACCCTGGGGGCAGGGGAGGGGTGGGCCGGCTGGTGGCTTTGGGCAGGATTAGCCTGTCAGGATGGCACCAAGGGGAATCGGATAATTGTTCTCAAATCGATAAGTCATTTCTACAGAATGGCTTGGCAGGGTGATATGGAGAACGGTAATGAACTCTGAGGAGGAGAAAGAAACAATATTATCAGCGCTGAAGGCACCCCGAGGGGGAATGGAATAGGGGAAGGCAGGCCGCTGCTCCAGAGGGAGAAGTTTAAGTGGTTTCTCATGTTGCTCCTCTCCCCTCTCCTCCCGCAGCATGGGGACTGGTAGGCACAGTATGGCATAGGAGGGCTGAGCCCCACCCCCAATGAGGGAGTGGACCCAGGATTCTGTCCCCAGAGACAGTCAAGCCCAGGAGCATGTCCCACCCTTCCAGAACATTCCTTTGACCCCTTCTGGCAGAAAATGGGGGTGGAGCACCAGTTATTCTACAGGGCTCTATCTCTTAGGTCCTCAGAGTCTATGACTGGTATATTCCCCACAGCCCAGTTTGAAGGATCTGAGAAGAGCTGCCTGTCACCCGGCCGGGAGGAGAAGGGGCGGCTACCTCCCCGACTCTCTGCAGGGAACCCCAAGTCAGCCAAGTCCCTAAGCATGGAGCCCAGCAGCCCCCTTGGGGAGTGGACAGACCCAGCACTGCCTCTGGAAAACCAGGTGTGAGTGTCTGTGTCCAGCTGGGGACTCTCTCCCCTCCTCCTTTCCCCTCCTGCCACTGGCTTGCCTGCAGGGGACACCCAGAATGGGTGGGCCAGGACGGCGAGGGACCCAGCAGAGATGCCCCCCTTCCTCTCTCTTGTCCTCAGCTGGTACCATGGGGCCATCAGTCGAACAGATGCCGAGAACCTGCTCCGACTGTGCAAAGAGGCCAGCTACCTGGTGCGCAACAGTGAGACCAGCAAGAATGATTTCTCTCTGTCCCTCAAGTGAGTAGGGGTGGGCCAACTACCAGCGTTAGGCAGGATTAACTTGTCACCATGGCACCAAGGAGAATCCATGGGAAGGCAACTGGCAGGACAGAAGGAGACTCCAACATTCTCCCCGTGCCCAGCCAAGCTGGGGAGAACTCCATCCCCATGAACATTTGCTGACTCTGGGCCAGGCCCTGGGGATTTGGAGGGTCTGAGGCTCAGCCCCAGATTGCAAGGAGCTCAGAGTCCTTTAGAGGAAACAGTCAAGCTACAGTGTCCAGCTCAGAAAATATCTGTCACGTACTAGCTGTGTGGCCTGGGGCCCCCTTAACCTCTCTGGGCCTCAGTTTTCTTACTTATAAAATGGGGAAATAATAATGTCTACCTTATAGGGAAGGATCAAATGAAATAATATATGGGAGGCACTTAACATGGTGCTAAGTGCTAAATAAATGATCACCATCATCTTTATTGGAAGGATAGGAAGATAGGATACACAGAACGAGCACTGGCCTCCGAGGCCATCCTGGTAGAATGGCCAGCCCTCCCCTCGGTACCCAGGAGTTCTGCCTGGTAGCACCTGCACCCCACGTGGCAGCCCGTCAGATGGTGTGTCCATTCACATCCCCCCATCACTACTGGGGCATCTGTACCACCTCCTACCACATTCCCCAGGGATATTAGAATACAGGTATATCCCCACTTCAAATGAATGCAATATACAGAAATTTGGGACTATTGAACAGATACATTTGAGGATAATTACTCAACTTCAACTAAAAGATAATGGGAAGATCCAGTCTGTAGTCAAATAACTTGAATTTTATTCCTGGGCTTAATAAAACTAGCTATGTTGACCCTAGGCAAATCATGTAACCTCTCTGGGCCTTGGTTTCTCCCATTGCAAAATGCATTGATGGGTACCTCTTAGGTTTCTTGCAGCTCTCATACTCTGCAAATTATCATAAAATCAAAGGAGCATTTAGGAAAAGTTCATCTGTCAAAAATCTGATATAACACTAGGATGTGTATTGCTTTAATAGTTAAGAGTCACAGAGCATCTGCTATGTGCCAAGCAGCGTATATACCCTCTCCAAACCAACTACCAACCTGCAAGATGAATCTCTTTTTTTTATAGCCAGAAAGAAATACAAAGAGGTATGTGACTTGCTCAAGGCCACCAGGTAGTAAAGTGCCCAAAGCAGGATTTGGACCCAGCTCAGTTCAGTCTGACTGCAAGAACAGCACTATTCCATTGCGTAGTCCACCCGTCCTCAAGTCTGGAACAGTCCGAGGCTGGGTTAGATAGCAAGGGTCTGGCTCCCTAAACGGAGCAGGGCAGGGCTCTGCCTTAGCCTGGGGAGTAAGAGGGGAGGCAGGCCTGGATGCTGCTTCAGCCCTGGCTGATCTGGCCCCACCAGCATCTGTCTGCCAGAGCCTCGTTTGCATATAAATGGCTTCTCTGAAATACAATTATGGTTTCTCTGCTCTCTGTAATGGAAGGGCTTTCACTGGTAATTAAACAGCTTCCTCCCAAAGCCATGTCAGCTCTGGCCCTGCGGCCCAGCTAGTCCCACCCAGGCTCCTGAGGGTTGGTTGGGCAAGGACTCGGCTTGGGACTTTATCCCAGGAGGTCAGTTATCCAGATGGAGGCTTGTTGCCACTTTATTGCCCTTTTTAGCCAAATCTGTCCCTCAAGGAGAAGATATAATGCAGTTTTGGGGAGAGGTGATTATCCCAAGTGGACTGTGGGTAGTGGTTGTCCCCAAACTGTGAGAGGGTGAGGGAAAGCAAGGGCCAAGCTGCTGCCCACAGCTTTGGGCCTGGGCCATGGCATAGGGCAGACAGGGGAGGGAGACTGCTCACTGCCTCCCTTCTCTACCGCCCCCAGGGGCTGTACATTTTCCTCAGGCCCTTAGCTCCCTTCCCCAGGGCCTGTGTGGTCACTGTCAGCCTCAGCTGTTATCTCAGGCCTCCAGAAGAAGGATGCCCGCGCCCCCCCCCCCCCCGCCATACACACATACACCCAGCCTGGGGCCCCCAGCAGGCTTTAGGGTACTGGATCCTGGGGCAAGGAGAAGGAATTGGGAGGGTGGGTGATAAAGGACTGTTTCTTCCTGTCATCCCTTTCCTCTCTTCAGTCATCCACTTTCCATCTCCACTTGTGGGCCCAGTGAAATGGGGCCAGTCAGAGCCTTCTTTGTACCCAGGCAGGGCAGGGAAATAAGGTTTGCCAGCCTCACCTCGTTTGAGTGCCCCCCTCACCAGTCCTACCTCCTATACTAGTTTCTGAGCCCTGCACTTGTCCCCAGGTAGGCTCTGGCCCCGAGAGACAAGTATTCAGGCTTCAGGGCTCCCGCATGCACTGCTTCCTCCTTGCCTGTGGCCCGGGCCTGTGGTAGCTTGGGCAGGGGTTGTTCTTGCTCGGGCCCCACCCCCATGCTGTCTCTCTAAGACAGGGTGCCAGGGCGGCTGGGAGCTAGCCAGAGCTCTGAGCAGCAGGGTCCTTGTCTGAGGGCAGGGCCGGGCACTAATGTCCATTTCCTGGATTGTGTCAGGGAGCTGGGAGAGGCAGGGGAGCCTCCCCTCTCTGAGGGAGGGAATGGAGTTACAGCCTCACGGATGATGTCATCCGGGCTGAAGGGAGAGAGGAGCTGGGGGCTTGGCCCAAGGCCCAGTTAGCAGGAGGGTAAAGGGGTATCCCCGGGACAAGGCAGTGGAGCCTTCCCGATTTGGGAGGGACTTCCAGAGCAGCTAGCTCGCCCCCTCCGCTGGTTTCTGCAAGAGAGAGCCTCAACCAAGATTCACTTGGTTGTCACATCTGTCCACACACTGTCCTGCCCGGGATGTTTGTGTCTCCACATCAGTCACTAGGAGCTCCCCACAGGTGTCATCCCCCACAGCTCAGAGATGGGGAGGGTAGACCAGCCTTGGCCATACAGGCTGGAGGGCACTGGTGCCTGGGTCCCAGAGTCTGGGGCAGGGAGAGTGGTTGCTCCAGTTTCCACCTGCACATGCCCTGTACACTCACTACACACACACATTCTTGGCAAGCCCAGTGCCCGCACCACAAAGCCAATGCCTACTGTTACCCACTCACAAAATCCCCTCTGCCTCCTGCCTGTTTTCTGGACTGACCTCCACCTTCCCTCCCCACCTCCACACACAGCTGGCTCAGAACAACCACTTTTGCTGCAGGGGCGGGGGAGGGGAGGGGGACCGGAGAGGGCCCCTACTCACCAGGGTCTCCTCTCCTCTTCCCAGGAGCAGTCAGGGCTTCATGCACATGAAGCTGTCCCGGACTAAGGAACACAAGTACGTGCTGGGCCAGAACAGCCCACCCTTCAGCAGCGTCCCTGAAATCGTGCACCACTACGCCAGCCGCAAGCTGCCCATTAAGGGGGCCGAGCACATGTCCCTGCTCTACCCCGTGGCCATTCGGACTCTGTAGATGGGTGGCCCGGGCACTGTGACAAATCTGGACCCAGCCCTGTGCCCATCCCCTGGCTGAGGGCTGTGGCCCTTCCCAGGGACATGTTCTGGCAAACCTTTCTTCCCCTCTCCCTGAGATCGAGTGGAAGCTGGAGATTCCTTAATTTATTCTAAACGGAAAGGCCTACTGGGGCCTCGGAGTAAAAGGTGGTCTGGAGCCGAGGACAGAGGAATCCCTGGGGAGAAAGGATAGCCCCTGGAGGAAGGGGGCTTCAGAGCCGCTGGTCTCCAGAGGAGTTTCAGATCCGCAGCTCCCCGCCTTTTCCGCCCCTAGGGCACAGGTGGCGACCCCCTTCCCCACCGACTCCTTCCCCCTGGGTCAATGCGGGGTGGGGCAGGACGCAGGCCTGCGGGGCGCCCTGGCCGCCTCCACCCCTAAACCGCCGGCGGGCTCCGTCCAGAGTCCGGTGCGGGGCTTAGGGAAGGCAGACCCCCCTAGGATGGAGCTGGCCGTGGCGGTGGGGAGACGAGGGGAAGGGCTCGGGCCAGAGGGAACTTGCGCAGTCCCCGGGCCGCCCCGGCTCCCGGCCAGATGCAATAAATAAACCCAGTCCTGCCAGGCACAGCCGCGTCCGCGCCTCCAGCGCCGCCCCCCGGGCTGTCGGGGGAGGGAGAGGCGAAGCGAGCGCAGATTCTGTTTATAAATCAGCTCTGGAAGCGACACAAGCAGGCTGTGAAAAGCACTTTCGAAGCATCAAGTTCCTTCCCTTGACGAGATGTCAAAACATCCCCTGCCGCCCCCGCCCGGCTGGGGGCACCCGGAGCCGACCGGCCGCGCGGCGCCCCCTCCCCGCCGCGCCGAGGAGCGCGGCTCCCCGAGAGCGCGTCCAATTTCCTGCCAACAGCCGTTCATCTGGGAGGAGGGGAGCCGCGGAGAGACAAAGAGGCAGCGCGCCAGGCGAGGGGGAGCGGGCGGCCCTGCCACGCGGAAGCCGCGCACCCGCGGAGGCGGGAAAGCTGGCGCGGCGACTGCGTCTTCTTTCCAGAGGAAGCGGGGCCTGCCGCGCCTCCCCCATTCTCCCTCCGCGAGTCCGGCCCCTGGAGACTTGCAGCCCGCAGGTCTGGGCTCGGAGCTCCCTTGGGGCTGGGCCTTCGGGCTCGCGGCCGAGCGTGGCGGGGCGGTCCGCGCGTGCCCCCTGCTGGCCGTGCCTCTAACCGCGGGTCGCGGGCGCCGGGCCACACCCGACCCCGGCCCTGGGGACGCCCCAGCCCGCGCCCGCAGCTGGACCGGCCGAGGCCTGTGGGGCCAGCCCCCGGGGAATACCCACCGGGCCGCCTGTCGGAGCTGCTGTCGACCCACTCCAGGCCCGCCCTCCTGCTCCCACGGGGCTCCCCGAGGGGCCGAACAAACATCCGCTGGCCTGGGAGCGCAGTCTGAGGGCCTCCTTACAGAACCTAAACCTGCAACACCCACATGTAGTGTCAGTCATGGAATTTTGGATTTTATCGAAATCGAGGACGTGTGACCTGACAAATGTAAGAATTCTGTAGGGACAATCGAAAAGGCTCACTTGAAATTGGGCCCTGCTTTAGAAATTCCCTGAGGGTTGCCCTATATCTTGGAAGGTATTGAGTCTCTTTGCAGATGAGAAAGCAGGCTCTGAGTGTTTAGGTGATGTGCTCATCCGTCTCCTTGCTTTCATCTCTTTACCTGGAAGACCCATGTAGGCACAGGTGGTCAACTCCTGTTACCCGGAGGTCCTGGAGCCGGCCAGGCAAACTCTGGCTCCCTGTGGGCTCCTGCTCTGTCCTGTCACACACACCTGCACTTTGTGCCTGGCCCACCTTCTCCATGAATGCCCACCTCTCCCCCCACCCTTCCCGATCAGGCTTCAGAAGCCCCACACTAGCCACCCTGAGAGGCCCTCGGTCAGGAAGCGTGCCCCTGAGCTGGGAAAGGGGTCTCCAGCTAAAGCACTCGGGCCTGAGCTGGTTCCTTTATTCAGTAGATGCTGGGAAGTTCAGAGGACTGTCTGCACCAGCCTCGGTGAGCTGGCTGGTTGAGTAGCTTTCTCTGCCAGTGCCTATCCCCATCCCAGGGCAGAATAAAGAAACCCAGAGTGCAGAAAAGTGGTTTATTTGTAAAGGAGACTGCTGCAGTAGGAAGAAGAGACAAGGCCTGGGGAGCACCACACAGATACTGGGCCAGATTCTGACTACAGTACATGTTTAAAAACTGGGGAGAAAAGATCAGTTGTGTTGTTAGACTAGGATGCTGAGGGGGTTCCTGCAGACTTCTCTCTGCGGGCCCAGCCTCTACCCCACCCCAAGGCATTTGCCAGCCCTTTTGACAGTGGGGAGCCTAGAGGAGGGGGAGGTTGTGGGGGGCAAGTTCCAAGATGCCAGCATCTGTGCTCCTACTTTATCCTTAGGCTCACAGCCCCCTAATACACATACACACTGCTTGTCAGCTCCAGTCTTTTGAGGCTTTTTCTTAGTTTGGAAGAAGAGGTGTCACTTTGCCCCAAAGTAATAATAGCTCTCCTACCTCCCAACCTCTGTTGCCCAGACAATGCCTCCCACTTCTCCAGGCTGAGACATTCTGGACTTGGGGGTCTCTGAACCCATATGGGGTGACTGACTATGACTACCTGGACCAAGGATGGGAGGTAGGAATGAGGAGGAGGCAGAAGGAGTCAGAAATAGGAAGTACAGAGCGTGGTGGGGGCCCAAACCTCTGCTCAGCTGGGCAGTGGGAAGAGCCCCTGGGCAGGAGGCCTAGAAGTTCTCATAATGGTGGGAGAAGTGAGTCTGATCCTGCTTATTGATGAGCTGACAGGCCTTTTCCACATTCTTGGTCATGCCAGGGGGGCCACAGCTAAACACCCCAATCTTCCGGACCTGTTAGGGGAGGGAAATGTGAAGGCTAGCTCGGTGTTCGTGTTAAAGACAGGCAAGAGTCCTTGGTGAGGGCTCCTTCTATGTTTCTGATAAAGGTATGCTTCACATCATGTGTGGTGAGGGATGGCTCGGTGTGTTTACATCTAGCTCAGTTTTGGTAGACTTGCTCTGTGTGGGTCCAACCTCCACCCCCTCCAAGGCATCTGTCAGCTTCAGGTACATGATCAGTGTTTCTGATAGGGGCTGGGTTAATCAATGTTCCAGTTAAAGGCTAGCTTACTGTCTCTTTGAGGGCTAGGCCATTATTTCTGAGACTAGTGGCTAGCCCAGTGTTCATGGTAAAGATCAGTGTCTAGGGTGAGCGCTGGCTCAGTATTCATGGTAAGAATAGCTCTTGAGTTTATGGTAAGGATGAGCTCAATCACTGAGCTGTTCCTTCTGGACAGGCATCATGGCTTTAGAAGTGGCAAGTCCCTGTGGCTGCTTCCCCCTTTCGCCCCTCAGAGTGACCCCTACTGTTTTTCCATTCCATTATCCCCACTTATCTCCTGGGTGATGAGTTCTCCTCAGCAGTCAATTCCTTCCCTCATGGAGCTGGGTTGGGAGGTTTGCTCAGACCTCAGGTGATAAATGCCAGGAGAACCTTGATATGGGGTGGACTGACCTGCGGGTGGACCTCCTGCAGGGACTTGAAGAAGGGCTCGAAGGGGGGGCGGCCAAAGTGGGTGATGGAGCGCAGGCCCGTGAACAGACTCCGGTTCAGCACCTTCTGGAAGTGCCGCTCACAGATGTACTGGGGGCACAGGGGCAGGTCAGGCCAAGGACAGTCAGGGTCAGTGCCTAGCCCAAGCTAGCCTGCAGCTCAGGAGACAGAGAATGGGGTGGCTGGCGGGGGAGCTGGAGGCTGAGGATCAGGACCGCCATCTCTGTACCTCCTGCTGTCTGAACCTGGCTGTCCACCCACCTGCCCTGGTCATCTGCCTCACTCCACCAACCCATATACCCACCTAGCTGCCCCGGCCGGCCGGCCCTGACCTACCAGCATGGTGGTCCTGAGGTCGAACTTCTCGGCCAGCTGGGTGATGTAGATGTGCACGGACACCAGGTCCTGGCGGTCATTCTCCTCCACCTCCCGGATGATGTCAGCCAGCCACTCAAACTGCCGCTGGGTTCGCGTCACCCAGATGAAGTAGATCTGGGGACACATGGCGGGAGCTCAGGACCTGGCTCAGCTCAGGCTCCCTATATCCCAGGGATCCCCACAGCAATAGAACTTGGTCAGCTTGTGCCTCTCCCCAGACACGCTGTGGAGATGGAGTGCTGCGGGGACCATAGGGCCAGGCTCTGGGGCGGGAGATGGGGGTTACCCCAGGGCATGGAGAGGTAGAAGGGAGGGATAACCTGGGGTGATGAAAAAGGACACTTGTCAAGTGAGCTGAAGGTCTGATGGGGTGGGAAGCAGCTTTTTCACACGGAGCCTGCCCTGCCGCTCCCTCCAATGGGCCCTCCTCAGGCTGCTAGGCTCCGAAGCAACCCTAGCCCAGAGGGATAGGGTTCTACTAAAGGGCACGTCGCAGAACAGTCTTAGGGAAGACCCAACTGGCTGCCTGGAGCAGATGGGAATGGGCTCCAGAGGACGGAAGTTGCCATGGAGGGAGCCACCTCCAACTTCCGAAGAGGATGAAGCAGAGGCCATGTGAGTTAAGAAGCAGAGGCAGAGTTGGCACGGACGGAGGAGCAGGGGAGCTGCCTGGCACCCTCCGAAACCTGACAGCACATGGCTGGGCCTCTGCCTGCCGCGTTCCTGTGCCCCTGACTCACCTGCCAGGCCCACAAAGACAAGCAGGGGCCTGCTACCAGGTCCACGCTGGGGTGAAGGGACCCGGGATGGAGGGGGCCTGAGGGCCTGGGCTGTGTTCCTGGAACCAGCCCAGCCCACCAGCCCTGCCTGGCCACCTCCCCTCTTTTTCCTCTTGAAAGCAGAGCCAGTTTCAGTTCTGCCCCACCCCAAGTGTTCCTTTCCTTCTCCCAAGCTGACAATGCTCCCTTCAGGGGCTGGCCTCCTCTGTAAGACAGAGTGGGTTTCTTTACCCCTCTCCAACTCTGTTCTTTAGGGTCTGAGGATATCCTGACCCCTCTGGGGCAGGCCAACTGGGCCTTGCCCGGATCAGGCCAAGAACAGAGGTAGGAGAGACAGGCAGAGATGGACACAGTGATAGGGAACAGGGGCCATGGGTCGGCAGGAGGAGAGGGCACTCACCTTCTTACAGAACACTTGGCAGCTGACTGATGACTTGAAGACCAGGTCTTTGAGGATGGAGGCAAAGGGGGTGACCCCAATGCCCCCTCCCACCAGCACTGACACCTCAAACTTATGCCATTCCTGGTGGCCCTCTCCAAATGGTCCATCAAGGTATAGCTGCAAGAGGAGGAGTGGGTTTGAGTTAAGCTCCACCACCACAATAGTTCTGAGGCTAGAAATGGGAGGCAGGGAAAGGCAGGTATGTTTATGGAGTGAGGAGAAAGGGGGTACCATGGCATTACTTGGAAAGACCAGTCTCTGGATTGGGGAGGGGAAGAACACAGTGGGGAGCCTGGGGATGCAGGGCCAAGGCCTACTAAGGGGATGTGGGGGCGGGTAGCTCATCTGGCCTGGGTCTGGTCACCTTCGGGTATCTGGCACAGCCATCTCCCGTTGGAGGTGAGTAGATCTCCCTGAGCCGAGTGGTCCAGGGCCCTGCCGCCCGGATGTGCAGGCTGAGAGTGTCCTCATGGGGTGCAGAAGTCAGTGTGAACGGGTGGTACTCAGTGGTCCCCAGAGCCAAGCAGGCGATCTGCACCCACTGTCCCGACTTGTACTCAAAGCCTTGGGGCCGCTGGAACTGCAGGTGGGTGACTCCTGAGGAAAGGAAGTGGGCAGGAGGCTGTTATCCAGGACCCAGCAGCACTGTGGCCTCCAGAAAGTTCCCCCACCTGCAGCCTCAGCTCTCCTTCTGGAATATGCCAGGGCCTCTACCCATCAGAAGGCATTACTCCCCTTGGGCCATGTCCACCCTGAGGAGGGGCAATGCAGTGCTGGTGGTCAGCAGGGAAAGGAGCAGCCTGGCCCAGGCTCCTCCTCTCTGTTGTGAGAGAGGCTCAGGTCCCCTGGCCAAGAGCTGCTCTTGCCAGCTCCCTTATCGCTGCCACCTCAAGGCCCCTGCCAACTCCACTGGGCCAGGCCAGGAGATTGCAAGGTCCAGGCTCTGGCACTGCCCTGTGGGCTTTCTCAGAACTACCCAGCTGGTCCTCGACAGCTTAGAGGCTGGTACCTGAAGGCAGCAGCTCCGCCTTCACCACGCTGATCTCCACCTTCTTCCGGCTCAGGCTCACCAGCTTGTCTCCCCCATAGATTAGTGCCGGGACCAGGAAGTAGATGTGGAAGTGGGGCAGCTGGATCAGGCCGAAGCTGCCGTGGATGATGAGCTGGATAGAGTGAAGAGTTCGGCTCTGACCAAGCCATACCTACAATAATGTCTGTGGCCGGCTCAGGCCTTAGCCCCTTGCATCCTCCACCCACCCCACCCCACCCCACCCCCACAGGCACCCTCCATCCCCACCTATCCGTGTACCATGGTCCCCAAATCTAACCACTCCCAACCCCAACTGCATCCTGTGGAGCGTCCATGACTAATGAGACTATTTGTGCCTTCCCGGCACCATCTAAACCAGCCACTTTAACTCTCACCTGGTCTCCTGCAGTAGCTTTCTAGTTGGTCTTCTACGGGGCTGCCCACTGTGACCCATTCTCTTCAAGGCAGCCAGTGTGACTTTTTCAAGTTCGTTTTATCATGCCATCCCAGCTTAACCAGCCTTAGTGGACTTCCCATTACACCACAAGGCCTTGAGATGCTCTGGCCTCTAACATGGCAAGTCCTCTCTGCTTCAGGACCTTGGCACCCGCTGTTCCTTCTCCCAGGAATGCCCTCTCCCGGGTTCTTTCCCTGGCTACCTCCATCTCATTTTTTTAAAAATTTATTTATTTGAGACAGAGAGCAAGAGCATGAGTGGGGGTTGGGGGGGGAGAAGCAGAGGGAGAGGGAGAAGCAGGCTCCCCGCTGAGCAGGGAGCATGATGAGGGGCTTGATCCCAGGACCCTGAGATCATGACCTGAGCCGAAGGCAGCCACTTAACTGCCTCAGCCACCCAGGTGTACCCCTCTATGTCATTTGTCAGGGCTCAGCAGAAACGCCACCTCCTCAGGCCTTCCCTCGGTCCTCTGTTATATCTCCCAGTTAAGTCCCGTCAGAGCACTTGTCATCATCCACACTAATGTTTCATCATTCATTTACATGTTTCTGTTGTTTTCCCTGGTGGGCGGTGGGTGTCCATTTTTTTTGCTACCATACTCTCAGCTCTTAGCAGTTACTGCCTGGCACATACCAGGTACTTAATAACTGTTGAGTTAATAAAAGAAGTTTCCCCAATTTGTCTTCTCCCTTTGGAGACTAAGAACACCTAACTAGTCCTCCCTTTTCCTTGAAATACGTGACAGGTATTGTCTAGCTCTGGTCATTTCCCCAACAAGCTGGTCTAACACGGTCAGACACGACTTGCCCCCGTGCTTCCCATTTGCTTGCTCCTAAGTCTGGTCAGTCTGGCTCCTGTTTCCACCTCTTCTCAGGACCTGCTCACTGGGGGCTCACCTGCCCCATGAATGGCCAGACCCCAAGGTCCCCTTTCATTTGCTCCCACGGCTGGCCCTCTGTGGCACCAGCAACCGCCCACTCCTTGCCACGTCTGCTGCTTCTCTTGAGCCACTCACTTTCCATCTCCTCCACTGGCTCTCTGTTCCTTCTCCCAGCCCTGATCCTGCATGTTGCCCAAACCTGATTTTCTCACTCTCTGCTCTCCTCTGTCTATGCTGTCCCATGTGGCACGGCCCCTCTGCTGAGCCACAGCCCCTCAGTGGCCACTGCAGCCCACACAGGTCCTGCCACCACCTAATGCCCTGGGGCCATCCACGGCCAGTCCCCTCTGTGCCCTGAATCATCATTTCCACCTCTGTACCAGTGCTCATGCCCTTTCTTCTACCTGGAATGCTCTTCAGATTCCACTCTGCCTTGTCAAATCTTAGCTTACCTCTCCTTAAGGCTTGGCTCAAGTCCCATCTTCTCCCCAAAGTCTTCCCTAACCAGTTTGGTCCAAATGAAACTCCCTTCAGTGAGCTACTATAACTCACTGTTTGGAACACTCAGATCAGCAGTTAATCCTATATTGTCTGCTCATTCTGATCATTTCAAGGGCATGGCACTTATCTCTGCAGCAAATCCTAAGTTCCTAAGGGCAGAGCTTTGAGTGCCCCCCTCCTCCACCGAACAAGTGCATACTAGACCCTTTGACAGACAACTGTTAAACTGAACTCTGGCTCCTCATTCAGCTCTCCTTTTCCCCAGCTTAATGTTCCTTTGCCCACAGGACTAACTTAAACCGCTCTGGGCTCTTCCCTGAGCTGGCTCCGGTTTCCCCAAGTTCCTCTTTCATTATGGAGCCCACACGCACCCCCAAGGCTTCCTGAGCATCGAACCAGGCTGAGAACAATGTCGGGGTGACCTCATACTGCTCTGTTTATACATCCCATTTGGTGTTGGCTCTACTTTTAAACCACAAAGCTGCTGCAGATTCATGGTTGGTTGAGGGCTGGGGGAGCTAGCCCTGCCCTATTCTGCTTGGACCAGGAGCCTGGACATCCTTCTGCAGGGTCGACTCCACACTGGGGTCCTTTACTTATAGCTTCTCTTTCTGCCCCAAGTCAAGTGGACACACCAGGGATAGATGGGAAGGAAGTGGGTATTTCAGCCCTGATATCCCCCCAGGTGAGACTCTCCCTAGCGGCCAGGGCTAGGACTACCCAACAGAGGTCCTGCACCTTTCTGAGCTGCTGACTTCCCTGCTGGCAGGAAGGGTGGCTCTGAACCCCAGTGATCCCCAAGATCCAGGAATAAGTCAGAAAGGGGTCTTGGTCTCAGAGAGCCAGTCTGGCCACTCTTCTGGGTCTCCCATAGAGTTCAAAGAAGCTGCTTTTTCACCAGGAACATCATCTCCGCTCCTAACAGAAACAGTAACCCAGGATGCTAGGGCTCCACCCTAGCAAGGGTGGGTAGGGAGGGATAAATTAGCTACAGCTTCCAAAGAAGGCAGAGATTTCTTTGTAAACAAACATCAGTTCTAGGAAATGACCTAAGCGAAGGCTGGGTAGTCATCTTCAGAACCATGAAGTGCTGAGCCTCGGGCAACAGGGAAACAGACTCTCTGATCAGTGAGGACAGAACTGCACCTGGGAGGAGGCAAGGCAGCCCCAGGTGCCAGCCTGACCCAGGCCATGATGGACTGTCTCCCTCTGTCTCAGGACTCTGTGTAGTTCTGCCTGGAGCCAGGTGACAGATGGCAACCATCTGGGCTCTGCGCTTCTGAATGCTGGCAGCCAAGCTATCGTTGGTGGGGATGCTGGGGACTTGGGACTTAGTTTAGCTTCTCAGCAGGACCCTCAGGTGCTCTTTAGGGAACTGCCTGTGTCCGTGAGGAAGGCAGGCCAAGCAGAGCCATGACACAGGCACAGGTCGGAGTCAGCTCTGGATCAAATTAGCTGACGCAGCTGACGGCAAACCCAGGGAAGGTAAAGGGAACAGGAAAAGAGAAGGGAGGGAATGTGAAGGAAGGGAGGCAGGAGCTTGGGTTAAAAGAAGGAAAGGGAAAGGTAGTCTTAAAAATCCATCTTATCAACAGTCCAAGTGAAGACATTTTGAGCAAGCTCGTTAACTCTACAAGTGGCACTTCACTGGGTGGGGTGCTGACACCCCAGAAAACAGGATCAGAACAAAAGTGGCAGAACCAAATTAAGATACGTTTCTCTAAAAAAAAGGGGTGATGCTCCCGTGAAGGTGGGCAGTCCACCCAGGAGCTCACACCAACCACTGGAACTGGGGAATGACTGGCTGGGCAGAAACAATGTGGGGGTATCTGCAAGGAATGAGACCAGCCTGGTAGGGTTGCCACTGCCAGACCCATGCCCGGGCATCCATCTTCCAGGCACTGCATCCCTGGGTCCGTCTGCTTGACAGCCCCCCACTATACTCTCCAGCTTTGAAGTGAGAAGTGGAGGGGATTCCTGAAATGACTAAGGGGACGGAGAACTGATGTCTCAGCCCTCATGGCCTCCCTGGGATCATCCTGCCAAGACCCCAGTAGCCCTCACCAGCACATAGAGCAGGATGTAGAGGTGGTGGGTCAGCCAGAAGCCCCGGAAGCTGTGGCGCCGGAAGTGGTGGGAGGCAAAGACATACATGATGGCCAGGACCAGGAGCAGCAGGATCCCCGTGAGGCCTGCAAAATGAACATGGGGTGAAGGGCAGAGGGGCAGGGCTGTTCTGAGGCTGCCAAGGGTCAGGGTCCCCGTCCCACTTCATTGCTCTGGGTGGGGGCCGTGGAAGCGCAGGCTTCTCCTCTTCTCGCACACCACTGATCACAGGTGCCTTTATTTCAACAGACTCTGCTTGCCCCTCCAAGGCCTTGTCCCGCTTGTTATTTTTCAAGTACCGGTATCATTTGTTTTGTCTGTCACTTCCCTGACTGTCAGGCCCACAAGAACAGGGACCAGGCTGTTGCTGGTTCAGCACAGAATCCTAGCGCCTCCTGGGGGCCTCACATAAACATGTGCTGACAGAATGAACGCACAGGGCATCTACTCTGGGCCCTCTGGGTCAGACTTTGGACATTGCAGGCCCTGCCCCCATGGAGTCAAGACTCCGTCTATGATCCCGTAGCCCTGACGTGGCTACCACAGCATGAGCTGGGGCCATTAGTGAGTAAGCGTGACCACCTGAGCCCCCTGGGTTCAGCCCAGTGTTGGTGAGAGGTCCCTCCTCTCACAGGAGATCCCAGACCCGGGGCACACAAGAGAGCAATACTAGATTCAGGACGGGAGTGCAGAGCCAGAGAATGGCCCCTCAAGCAATCAAGGAGGAGCGAGGCAGAAATTACGAAGATTAGAGCCCTGAAGTATGGAAAGCAGAGGTGAAGAAGGGATCTAACCAAAGCCTGTAAAGGCCTGAGCAGAGAGGAGGGCATAAACACAGCCTTATCCACTAAATCCCAGTGTGCAGGGATTAGCAAGCACTCTGAAGTTCAAAGCAGATTGTTTTAGGATTAAAAAAAAAAAAATGCTGTGTTTCACAGAGAGGAGTGTAGAAAATGTGTTACTCCTAGGAGGAAACAGACTGAAAATATAAATAGATTCAAGAAGCTTTTGAATAGATTCACAGCTAATAGTTCTAAAATGGGTGATTATGGGGAGTTAGGAATTTGTCCCTAAACAGCTCTTGTCAAGACAGACTACAAGGGGTGGGGGGCTCTGCCTTGCTGGACAAGCCCGGTCCCTCCACCATGCAGCTGGGGCACAGCATTCCTCAAAGCCACTGTCATGGTAGGTGTGTATGTTGGGGTGGGGGGAGAGGGGGTCCACTCCCATTCCACGGAAGGAGGATGTTCAGAGTTGGGGCAGGAGCCCAACCAAGCTTCCAAGAGAAGGACTGGAGAGCAAAAGCTCCTACTGCCCAGGAGAGTCCTCAGGACCAGAGGGCAGAGCCTGGCCCACCATGGGAGCTGAGTGAGTGCTAGTGGGCTTGCCTCATGGCAGATCGAACCCAGAGCCCAGAGCTCAGAGCCAGACCGAGAAATTTAGAGCAGGGAGGGCTCTCACCTGGCACAGTCTGGAAGAACCACCAGTAATACTTCTGGGGAAACTCAGACCTGTGGAGAAGGGAAAGCAAGGAAGGATGCTGAGAGGAGATGTCTGGGACTTCCAGAAAGAATCCTCCAGAGGAAATACCCCAACCCAGCCACCAGTCTCCCTTTCTGCCCAGTTGGGGCCAGGGTTCTGGCTGGTCATTGTCTGTCCTATAGCCTGGAAGGTGATTCTCCTCTGAGCCAAGAGAGTTCCCCCAACCTTGACACACACACACACACACACACACACACACACACACACAATGTCGCCCACTCACTCACCCGTCGTCATGGAAGAGTCCAGGGAAGAGGCAGGAGAGGACGCTGAGTGGGCTGATGGAGAACAGGTACACATTCACCACATGGCCCACACTGTGCAAGACTAAGGAAGACCAGACAGGGTGGGAGTGAGCCAGGGGGAGCCTGGTGAGGGTGTTCAACCCATTTAGCCCAAGTTGGAGGATTCCAGGCGCCCGGCCTTGGGGGCCTGAAGGACCCTAGGGGCCTGCACTTCTGATCGCTAATCATCTTCCTGGCCGTCCCCACCCCCACCGCGCCCCCATTTATACCATCGACGAGCACAGTCACAGGAGTCTGAAATTATACCATTAGAAGTTCATTCTTTGGGTTTCTCTCACAGATAATGTTTTACAACATAAAAGCTGGGAGAGATTGCACATGATGTGCCCTCGTTCTGGGGTGTGGGTAACTTGTCAGCCTCCAGCTGACAAGTGAGGTGGCCCTGAAAGCATGGGAAGAGGCCCAGGGGGGTGGGTTGCTCCTGGGCTCACTTCACACCACTGCAAGGCCAGCTCCATCCTTCTGAGAAGGACATCTAGGGCTTACACTGAAGCACAAAAGAGAGGAGGGGCAGGCAGCAGGGAGCAGGAGGACGTGGACAGAACCCCTGGGACTCCGGGGCCCTGCCTGTGAGGACGATGGCCGTGGAGGCAATGAGCCGATGGAAATCCACGGCGGCGTCAAAGGGCACGTAGCGGTTGAGGAAGGTCTCTCGCAGGAAGGTGATGAGGTTGCGGCACATGGTGAGCAGGATGTAGGAGAACATGAAAGAGATGCTGGCGGCCGTGCCCCGGGACAGGATGATGCCCACACGGGTGGTGTCCGTGATGCCCATATGGTGAGCCCCGAAGGCGTAGTCTGTTGGGGAGCCCAGGCGGGTAAGAGGGGAGCAGTGTGGAGGAGAGAGCCCCGCTGAGAGGCGCCACCCCTCACGCAGGCCTCCCCCCACTGCCCCCGCAGCCTCTGTTCAAGCAGGCCCCTTGCACCCACAGGAGCCCCGACCCCAGAGCTGCCTGCACTCACAGTAGGCCCGCTCCAGGAAAAGGCCCCCGGTGATGGCATAGAACATGGCCACGCAGCCTATGTGGCGGCGGTAGTTCTCGATGAAGCGCTTGAACTGCTGCAAGGTCTGGTGGCGCCGGCCCCGTTGAAACTTCTCCCGGTGAGCTTCCGTGAACAGTAGGGGCTGGAATGATGTTACCCTGGGGGACAGGAAGTCTTGGCTCTGGCTATGCACCCCTGCATAGGGACAGCCTTGCAAGTGCTCACTTGGTCAGTTCATCCCAGGGGATGCACTCCCTCTAGCCCAGTTCCCACTCACACTCAGACAGCCCTCTCCCCTCCCAGTCTGCCGCTCTGTGTTCTTACCCTGCTCGGTTCTCACCCTTTACTGGAAGCTCAGAAGACACCCCCTCCAGGAAGCCTGCCTTGACTTCCCAGGCAGAGGTGAGCACTTCCTTGAGCTCTGAAGCCCCTTGCTCTGACCACTATTGCAACGTTCATCAGTGGGACACTGTAATTATCAATGTGCCAGTCCATCTTGTCAGACTGTGATCTTCCCGGGCATGAACTATGCATCCTGCCTGCACCCCTGCATGCTAAAGGGATGGGTGAACCGCCCGGGCTTGAGGAGAGGAGCAGGCGTACTTCTTGCCAAACCTCCGTCGAATCTCCTGGGGAGGGTCTGTGTCCATGGGGCACGGCAGTCTCTGTGCTGCACATTCCACATCAGCGTTGCTGTGGGGACAGCGAGCACTCACTCTGGGGGAGGGACTAGGACAGGAATGAGAGAGATAGGATTTTGGCCACCTGAGCCACTCGATCCTCTGCTGCCCCTGGTCTGTCCTCAGACCGACTCTATGGAGGAAGGGTCAGAGCTCACAGGCAGAGGACAGCAGGATTCCCACTGAGACCTAGAGAGAGAATGAATTAGATCCTGGGGATACACATACAGCTGGGCCCTTCACAAGGGCATGTGACCTTGGCAGCAGGCTCTCAGCTCTTCCTGGTGCAGGGCTGGGTCTGCCTAAAGCAAGGAGCCCTTTCTTCTAATTTGCATGAAGCCACACATAGGCTGGTAGAGCCACTGATCCCAGGCCTTCTGGGGAGAGAAAAGGCAACGCCCCCATCCAGCCGTCCCTCCAACACTCCTCCAAGGAGGACTCACCAGATCTTTTCCTGGCTGATGTAGGAGGCTCTCCGGCAGAGGTCCTTGATGACTTCCGGCACCTCCACCCCTATGACACAGAGCAACAGCTCAGGGCCCAGAGCCCAGGAAGAACTGGCACTCACCCCATGTCCATACTGTAGAGGGTCCTTGGCCAGTACCCTTGGCTTCGGGTGTCCCAGCCTCAGCCTGTGCCACCAGTGGGAGCCAGACCCAGCCATGAGTGGGCAGGGAGAAGGCCTGAAACAAAGCTGGCCCGGCAGTGTCCCCTAGATGCGTGTCCACCTTCAGCCCCACTCCTGGGACTGGTATCAGGCTTATGGGGTGGAGTTCAGGAACTGTGTGCAACCTGACCGCTGAGACCATTCTGCCACAAAAACCCTGCTAAACCCTTTAGCTTAAAACCTCCTGGGAATTAAATGTAGCTCTAGGTGGCGCATATATGGAGATCACCATAAAATTCTTGCCACCTTCTTGTGTTTAAAAATGTTCATAATAAAATGTTGGGGCGGAAATACTCTGCCATGAGCCACCTATTCCTCTCTGTCTGGGTTGAGCACTGAGGGGCAGGGCAGGACTGAGCTGCAAAGCCATGTTCTCACAGGAGGCCTGAGGATCTCCAGGTCACTTCCAAGTGCTAAACCAGTCTTGAAGATTACCCTGGTCTACAGCCCAGAGGGCAAAAGTGATTAAGCTGAATTTCATAAAATAAGAATGTTTATAACAAAGTATAGATCTTTATCCCTCAAATTTTAGCAAACAGCAAGTGTGGCAAAATGGTAACAAAAGGCAAATCTAGGTGGAAAGGGTAAAGGGATGCTCCTTGTGCTATTCTTGTAACTTTTCTGTAGGTATATTTAAAATGTTTCATAGTAAAATCTGAAGGAAACAACATGGCACAACAACAATTAAAAACAAAACACAATAGGACTCAATGCTACCCTTCTACATAATCCTCACTCCCCCAGCCTGGTCTTCCACCCCAGGGGCTGGATGGATGTTCCTGGGACTCTGGCCTGGGCTCACCTTCAGGCACTTGCCCCTGCTCTGCCCTCAGGCCCGGGTGCCTACTGCCCTCGCTGCCTGGGAAAAGTGAGAGGCTGAAGAATCAGGAGTGCTGGGTCTGCACTCCACCAGCTCTCTTCCAGCCCTGGGCTGTGTGAGCTGTGTCCTGCCCAACTCACCCCTCTCCCCCATCTGGGCTGCTCAGCTCCCCCAAGTTCTCGTAATCCTGGGAGGGGCTGGGTTTGGTCTCAACATGCCCCAGTGAGAAACTGTGAAGGTACCATAACAGCTCAGAGTAGGCCACAGAGAGTCCTGCTACCTGCCCCTTCCTCACCCTGGCTCTAGCCCCCACCCACCTGAGTCAGACACAGGTGGGACAGGAAGTAGGGGGAAGGACAACAGAAGTGGGTCTCTCCATGTACTCAAGCAAACATTAACTGAGCACTCAGCCAAGGGATATAAAGGCAAACAAACCCCCCCACCCCCCTACCCCCCGCCACCAGACACCCTAGCTCAGGCGGATATGGCCTGGTTAGGGCTGTAACAAGGAGACACTCTTTCCCCTGGTCCTGGGCACCCGGCACAGGGGCCTTTGACAGAGAGTTGGGAGAAGCAGAATTCTATCTGCTGTCCCGCACCCCATCGTGACCCTGCCCACCCTGGGAGCAAAGCTGCATTAGGACTTTTGTGGGCCCTAGGCACTGTCACCTTCTTAAACCACTTCCACCCTTAAAAAAAAAAAGCATATACATATATTTATAAAAGATAAATATTTTTTACAACCATGTCAGTATATAAAAGGATATAATCCAGGCTGGATATATTATCACCTATTCATTATTATTATTATATTCATTCATTCTTCTGATTTTAAAAGAGATTAAAACATTTCTGTGGGCTCCTAAAAGTAGGTGGGCCTGATGCACTGGGCCTGCCGTGTCTAATGGTTACGTCAGTCAGCTCCAAGGCCAGGCTGCCCCACCTCTGACGCAGAGCTGGGTGAATCGGAGCTCGCTGTCATGGTCCCGCAGCATGAAGTGGAAGTCCTCCCACGTCAGCTCCTCCTTATCCTGGAAGCCGGACTCCCGGAACATGGACTCCACCACCTCCTTCAGTTGGGCCTTGGACAGGCAGTTGTTGGAGATCTCGATGAAGGACCTGGGGTTGGGGGAGGGAAGCCATCAGGCCCTGAAAAGAAGCCTGAGGCCTAGATAGGAGGGCCTACTGGCCATCCCACCAGGCCTTCAGAGCCCACATGGAAGGTCCCCAACTGGCCAAATCCCAAGCCCCCTCCTAGTTATAATAGTCTTCGGCTATATGGTCCCAGCTCTTTACCCTCCTGCTCCCACCTTCATGCCCCCACTTCTTTCCACCAGCAGTCCCTGTCCTGGCCCACTCTTCTGGCCATGCTATAGGACCAACCTCAGCATCCTGATGAACTCATCCTTGGAAATGAGACCATTCCCATCAAAGTCATACATGCGGAACATAAGGCGAGACTTCTCCTCAGGAGAGCCTGGGAGGAAGAGGACCCCGTGAGAGCCCCAACCTACCTGCCTAAACCCCAGGCTGGCCAGAAGGGGCCTCACATGAATGTGACCCACTGCTGAACACAACAAGGGGTCATTGTGCTTCCTGAGCTCTACCTGGGTTCTCCCAGATGTCTGCCATGGCTGGAGACCTGATCTGGCACTTCCCCATCTCCAATGGGTCAGCTACCCTTCAGCCTCAGTCTCTAGCCCCTTCCATCCTCTCCTACCTGGACAATCACTCCCTTCTCCCCTACCTTTCATGAAGACCACCAGGATGTCCAGGAACTCCCGGAAGGACAGGTAGCCATTGCCATCTTTGTCAGCCAGGGAGAACATGGACTCCACAAACATGTCCTGGGGCTTGAGGCCCAGGGACTCGGCAAACTCAGCTCTGCTCAGCTCGCAAGTCAGGGCCTCCTGTACCTTCTGTGATGAGTCCAGGGGCAGGGTCCCTGCATCCGCCTGGTCGATGTCCAGCACCTGCACTCGGACAGCAGCAGAGGGAGAGAGACAGAGAAGGAGACAAGGTTTCCTTGATTTGAAGTCAAGCTGAGCCTTGTAGGATCCACCTTTTCCAGGTTTCTGCCCAGCACCCTGTCTCCTGAGCACCTACCCTGTGCCCAACAGGTAGTCCCTGGGGCCATTTCTTCTACAGAGCCCTGGCCCTCTGTGTTAGCTGATTGGGCCAGGCATGCACACTTGACACAAGCAGACAATCTGGAATTGGGACCAAGAGGTCCCAGGTCTGTCTTGACCTGAGCACAAGAAAACTCAAAAGTGGTGGACCACCATCTTCTTCCAAGTGCTCAGGGACACAGACAGAGGGAAGTAAACACACAGAGAAAACGAGGCAGGCTAAGAGAGAGAAGTGAGTGACCTTGTTTGCTGGCAACTCTCCCTTTCCTTGCCCTTTCCAGGCCAGGTCACAGACCTCCCTTTGGAATTCCTGCGACATCACCATAGCCTCAGAGTCAACTGACCCTTTGTCAGTGCTAGCTTGCTCTTACACCCAAAGGCGTTTTGACTGAGAAAAAGCCTCAGCTGAGTTGAGAAAAAGTTGTGCTTGGGAAAGGGGAATTCTCACAGTGGGCTATCTTCAGCCCGCCCAGGGGCTGCCCCAGCATCAGAACAGGCGGTGAGGGAAGCAGGCAGACCTCAGGCCACAGCACCTATTTCTCCTGCCTGTCAACCGGGGGCCCCCAGTCCCAACCTGGCTGTGGTTTCATGAGGCAAACCTTGTTGCTTCAAACAAGGAGCTTTAGTGGAAAGAGCCTGGGGCTGGAGGCAAAAGACCGGGTTCTTGTCCCAGCTCCGCCACCCACTTGCTGTGTGACTTCAGGCAAGTCTCTCCAGTTGTCTGGCATTCATTTTTCTTACATGCCTTACTTATCTCACAGGGCTATTGTGAGAATCAACAAGAGACGCTGTATGGAAAACATCTTGAAACCTGGAAGTACTGGGCAGACAGAGAGGGTTGGCAGCTATCCCCAAGACACAGTAGCACACCCTCACACCCCCAGCACAAGGAGTCCCCATAGCCCTGATGGGTCCCGAACTGAGTGGATGTGCCCCAGCCCTACCTGGGCCCTGGCAATGAGTCTCCCCACCTGGGGGTCCCTTCATTCTAGTGCATACTCAAGTTCAACGGGCTTGGGGAGTAAATGACAAGAGCCATGTGCCTGGCACATCATAAATGACCATTAAATGGTCGCTTCCCTCACAAATCCTCTCCCGGGCCAGCCAACCCTGCTCCTTCTCTTCAAACATTAATTTTTTTGCCCTTCTACTGGGCACCTCTGCTCAGTACCCCCTGGTCCTTTCCTCTGAGCCAAAAAATTTTTACCTCTTTTTAAGTTCTTGCCAAATCTGACCCAAACCATGACCGTCCACCGGCCTGAAGACTCACCACCTTTTCTGAACTCCGACACTGCTTATCTCATGGCTCAGTTTTGTAGCCATTATTCTGAAGTGCTGGTTATCTTCCTTTCTGTGTCTGTTCTTTCTTCCCAGAGGGGTGACAAACTCTTTGAGTGGGGCCTAGGCTGAATGGATCTTATCTCTTACCAAGCGTCTCCTCTCCACCCTTTTGGACCCAGGCGGCTTTATTTCTGTGCCAGATATGGGTACAAGTCCTTGCATTTCTCTTCCTGGCTTGTTTCCCCACACCCTCTCAATAGTTCATGGAAGTCTGCAAGGTGGGCACCAATGTCCCATCGAGGCCTCTGGCAGCTGCACTCCAACAAGGATGGGGGACCAAGGGTCCTCACTGCCCCCACACTGACCCTGGATTTCTGCGAGCTTTTGGCCAGGATGAGTTAAGTGAGGGCAGAAAGGCTGGACAGCCCTGAGGAGCACACTGAGTGACACATGCAGATAAGCTCCTGACGTGGCCTCCCTGGAGTCCCACAGGTAGGCGCTGCGGAGCACCTCCTTACAGAAAGGCCAGGTGGTTGGGCCCAAAACGCAGCAGACCTGATTAGTAGTGTCAGGGCTCCTGACTTCCCTGGAGTCAGCCCACGGCCCCCCGCAGGTGAGGGTACCACCATAGGCAGACATGCAGGGACAGACCTGAGCCTAGCTACACACCTGGGAGAAAAGGTGCCTGAAAAAGGTCTCCAGGAGGTGGCTCCTCTGCTCTAGCGTCACGGCCGCCCTCATCAGCTCCTGCTCCCGCAGCTCCCACTCCTGGAACCTCAGCCCGCTCTCCTTCAGGGTCCCCCGAAGGTTTTCCACCAGCACCTGCCGCTCCGCCTCCAGGTTAAATAGCAGCACCTACAGAGTGGCGACAGGGAGAGCAACGATTTGTCGAGGCCTCCTGGGGCCAGGGGCTTTGCATGAGTTTTGTCAGGGGCCACTGGGAAGAGTGCCCTTGTAAAAGGGATTTACTGTTATGTCCTGGGCTTGGTGGGGTTCTGGGCTCGATTATAGGCACAGAGACTGCATTCAGAGACATATGTCTGCAGTCATCCTTCCCTCTCTGTTCGCACTGGAGAAGAGAAGGGAAGGTGGGGAGGACAGACGACGGAGGGGACCGGGAGCCAGACAGAGCTGAAAATCAGCCTCTGGTTGAGTTCCCCTCCAAAATCTCTTAACAGTTCACTAGATCCTAAAATCAGGGGGCAGGGAAGAGGGCCTGACTCCTTCCAAGGACTCCCAGCTAGGACCCACCAAAGCATCCTTAGAAAGTGGGGAGGAAGACTGTACATGAAAAAGGCACTGTGGACATCATGTCACCCCACAGGCCCAGAGCAGGATGAATGTGTTCACGTTTCTCTATCAGGTACTACAGCCAGGAACTAGAAGCCAGAAACCCTGCCTGATTCAGTGCTCCTTCCCCTCCATCCGGCTGCCTCCCTGGCTATGGACCAGGAATAGGACCAGCTGGGCCATACCAGGTCATACTCCTTGGGGATCTTGAGCAGGAGGGCGCGGCGTCCGCGGTTGCCGGACAGGATGAGGTTGACCTGCTGCGGGGGCTGCAGCTGGATGGTGCGGAGCACAGAGAGCCTGCCGTCCACCACGCAGATCTGCCCAGGCTGCAGGTGCACCAGCACAGGCCGGGAGGGCTCCCTGTGGCCCTGCCATTCCAATGCTGGAGAGACAGGGCTGGGTCAGCTGGGGCCAGGACAAAGGAGGCTGGCCCAGGGCTGGAGTTAGGTCAGGGCCTCCATAGTTCCTGGCCCCTTCTTGAGTACTGAGGGCCATCCCCTCCCCAACAGTCCTGCTGTGCCTCTAGCCCACGTGAAGAATAACTACCATTTCCTGAGTGTTTACTGTGTGCCCAGTACTGTACCAAGTACTTGGCATGAACTGGTTAATATAATCTTCATAAACTTTCATGAGGTAAGTGCTATTACTATTCCTGCTTTACAGATAAAAAAAAAAAATGGGTTTAGAGAAATTAAAAAAATCTTCCTAAGGCCCAAAAGCTCAAGTGGTGGAATCAAGATTCCAATCCTCCATCAGTGTGACTCTGGACCTTCATTAATTACTTCTCTGTTGCCTGAAATTCCAGTGTAAGATGCCGCAAAGCATCTGTTGCCGAGGATTCTAGAGAGTCATGGTAAGCCTATGAAATGTAGTCAAGGCCCTGTGACTCCCCGCCCTGAGTCTATCACATCCCCTTTATGTGGGACCACAGGGAGGATCTATGGAGGGTGGAGGACTCCAGGTCCAGTTTCCACCTGACGCCTCCATGGCTTTTCCCACCTGCCCTGACCTGCTTGGAGGCCTAGAAAAGGGAGGCCTTTTCCTTAGGCTGCTGAGGTGGGAGCAGTCTGCAGCCCTGAGTTATGTCCTCCCCCACAGCACCCTGGCCAGCTCCAGGCCTACCTTCCATGCCCCCCACGAGTTTCTCAGACATGATGCTCTGGCGGTCCTGGCCCTGGAGCCTCTTGAAATTTCTCCTTCGGAGCCGGGCAACAATCCAGGCACTAAGCAGGCTCACTGAGAGGGCAGAGGCAGGAGGATGCTCAGAGGAAGGTAGGAGTCTGAGATCAGTGGCCCCTTTCCTTGGCAAGACCCGCTGCTCTCCCCACCTCCTAGGTCGGCTCATTCAATTGTCTCAAACTGTGAAGCTCCCTGGTGGGGAGTGGGGTAGGGGTGGGGAAGGAGCTTTGGGTAAGATGCCAACACAGCCTCTGCTGCTTCCACCACTCAGGTCCCTTCCTAGCCAGAGACTAAGGCCAGAGTCCTTGTGCCAGAGCTGGACCCACTCTGCTACACAGCTGGCGGACTCACACACAGCCATGCCGAACTCTAAGTCTCAAGCCTTTGCCCCAGCTAGTTCTCAACTGGTTCTCCAGCAGGGTTTGCCTCGGACAGTTTCCCAGGCCCAGGCTCCTGCAAATAACTGTGAAATACAGATTCCTTGTGGCTCCTGACCAACCTAGGCCCTGGAGGGACCCCAGGAGAACAGGAAGGCAAATTTCCCTGGAGCTGACTTATCTGCAGGTCAGACACTTCTCATGTCCCCTCCTGCTCTGATGTTTTCGTCATGTGCCCAAAGAAACAGTACTCCTCATGGACAGTTGTTAGAGATGAAACCACCCCACTGCCACCCCTTAGCTTATGCATTTCACCCAACACCACCCTGCCCATCACTTTTACCCAGGGGGAAGCAGCAGAGAGTCCCGATCGTGACCCCAAAGCCAAATCCACTGCCTTCAAAATAGTCCCGCATGATGGAGGGACCACAGGCTGGCAGGCCCTCAGTGCTGAGTTGTCTTGGCTGCGGGCAGGGGTCTCCTGGGGAGACAGAGGAAGCTAGAGTCCTGGGGCGTGCTGGGCCAGAGACTCTGGCACAGAATCACCGAGGAGGTTAGAGTGGCAGAAAGGGTAGAGTGGCGGGGGGGGCCCTCTGGGTAGCAGAGGGGTGAGAGCTGCTTACCCCTGTCAGTATACCAAGAATGTGGTGTTTGCCTAGTGGGGTAACAAGTGGGGTCAAAAATGAACCTCAGCCTTCTCTCTCCCTCACATGCACATATGTACACACGCACACACACAGCCCTTCCCTTGTCACTGCTGTGGGATTAGGATATCCTCACTGCACTGGGCCTTCCTGATATCACACCCACCCCAGGCTCAACCCAGCTGATGGGAGCCTTCCTCCCTAGGTCTCTCTGAGTCTCAGTCTTGTCCCCACTTGGGTACCCTCTGGAGTTGTGCAGAAGGGGACCTACACAGCCACATGTGGCCACCTTCGTGCCCAGAACCAAAGTTCTCAAGGGCAGAAACATGGCTCACTGCCTCCTTGGAGTCTACTGCCCAACCACACCTGAACCAGGCCCACGGATGAGGAGGGATGAGACACCAGACCCCAGGCCCCTCCAAGCACCCCCTGGCCACTCACCCATATGCCAGAAGAAGACACTGGGCTGCAGGGCACTGGGGTTTGTGTTGGTGACAGCCACTAGAACATCCCGTAGGGAAGTGTTTCTGATCTCTGCAATTTCTTCCTCAGAGAACAGCCTGGGGGTGGGAGAGGTGGGGAGCTGCTGCATTGGGAGAGAGATGCCTGCTCTGGCCCAGGGACCCAGATGAGGAAAGAAACCCAGAGGGGCCGAGGAGCGTGGGAGGCCAGCTGGGAATCAAGGGCCCATGGGGCTGCTGACAGCACCTGCAGAGGGCCTGGGGCCCAGGCCAAGGTGAAGTCTGAGGAAGGGACCCAGGCAGGCCTTACCCATTCCTGGTGTTCTCAAACCAGTAGCGGTCGCCATCCCGCAGCCTCACAAACTGTTCAAGGACGATGGTGCTGAAGAGGGGCCCGGGGTCCCCATGGCTCTCCAGGAGCCCCCCGGGGAGCAGCTCCAGCCGGGACAGGTCCTGGTTGTACAGGGCAGCTGTGGCCTCCAGTACCTGGGCCAAGAAGGGACACGAGTGAGTGCAAGGACCTGGCACCCACCCTGGGGCAAAGAGGTAGTATGCAGGGATCAGCCCCCAGGATGATAATGATAAATGACAGTGACAATCATCACTTATTATGCCCCAGGCACCGCTCCGAGTGCTTTACACAAGTTAACTCATTTATGGGAACTCGCTCACAGATTCAGCTGCCTATTTTAGAAAGTTGGAACAAAACGGGCAGCCAATTCCCTATGTGGCTTGTGCTCAAAACAGTATGAAAGTTGAGGGTCAAAACCAGTACAAAAGTTGGAAAGGTAGAATGATGTATTAGAAAAGGTTTCTATTCTTAGAGCTAAAAAAGTTTTTAAAAATCAAATCCCTGCATATACATTGCTTTTTGGAGACAGACTTCAATATTATATGAGCAGCATTTTCTACCTGACCTTTACTTTAGTTCTTTTCTCTGCAATGTAAACAAACATTTGCCCAGCTTAATTCCAGTGAGGCCCAGGTAAGCTAAAGATTTGCTACTTTCAGTATGCCTGGTGATTCCTATCTTTATATTGATTTTATAAAGCTTACAAACCCCATGTGCGTATTGCTTCTTCATCAGCCTTTCAATTCTCCACTTTCCAACAATCTTATAGAATAGTAAGGACGAAAGCAATAAAACAAGCATGCAATTGCAGAAACGCCACTATGCCAAGATGCTAAGGCCACCAAAACTGGTCTGTTGGCTGGCAGGCAATGTCACTTGCCCAGGTGATAGCTCAGGGTGTGACAGTTAACTCCCCAAGGGCAGCTTGAGTATCGGTGTATAAAAAAGTATAGCTTGTTCCTGGGTTGAGGACCCTCTACACCTGCTCAGGTGGTTGTTGGGAAAGCAAATGAGATAATGCCTATTAAGTGCCTAGCATGCAAGAGATGCTCAACAAACATTTGCTAGATCTGCAGAGTCACAAGATATACTGCCAAATCCTACTGGTCTGGAAACTTCCATCCTGGTATACGATACTGGGAAAAGCCACCTGGGTGAGTCCCATCCTTCTCCCAGCGACTTGTCTCTAGTGTTTGTGTCTCACTGCCTCCCTTCCATGTCTTGGGCCAATGTGCCTTGGCCCTCCCACCCTGCCCTCCGTGTCCCAACCCCTCCTTACGGTATGGTTGCTCTGGGAGAGTGCAGGGTTGATGTCCTGCCATCTGGTAATAGGAGGAAGACCCAGTGCTGCCCTGGCCTTGGTATAAGAGGGCAAGCCCAGATCCCGGCCCCTTTGCAGGCAGCCAGCCAGGTGGTCTGTACGAGAGAACTTCAGGGGCCCAGGCCAGAAATCTGGGGATGAAATAGCAGAGAGTCTGAGGGAGCTCAGGGCCACCACAGCTCCACTAGCCCAGACGCAGGCTCCAACCAGCCCCAGGGGGGACCAGAATCACACAGAGGGAACCATGGTCACCACACCTCTCAGCAGTGAAGGAGTACAGGCTCCCAGGTGCAGACACTCCTCCTGGCCTGACACTGGAGCTCCAGCAGAATCCCCACCCAGGGGCTAGCAGGGCACAGCCTTCAGGGACAGCCTCAGCCTCACCTAGCACATCCTCAACCACGACATGGTCCTCTCGCTCAGCGATCTGGGAGGCCATGCCCAGCAGTAGCGCATCCACATCTTCAGCTCTCCGTAGGTTTGGATGCTTTGGGAATGGGGAGAGAAGATGGGGCTGGAGGTGGAGCAGCCAGGCTCTCCCCACACCACAGTCCATGTCCTGGGCCCACCCAGTGCTGATGTTTGCTCTGAAACCAGCAGGCCATTCCTCTTCCATAGGTTGATTCTCCACTCAGGGTGAGTGATGTCCCCATCCAAAGCTCATGCTGCTGGGAGACAGGTCCCCACAAACACAAGGGATCTAAAACTTTACTTCTATTTTAGGAGACTTGACAGTATGATCAACAAAGACACTAGAACCTCTAGGTCTTGGTCCTTGCTCTGTTAGTGAGCAGCTGTGTGACCATGGCAAATCACAGGACCTTTCTGAACTCAGTGCCTTTTCCTTAATAGAAAGGGCATTAGGGATAAAATTAAATTAAGTTAAATTAAATTAAAACAATTAGGAGGATACTGAGGTCGTCCTCAATTCAGCTTTATCACTCTGATTCTGTGCTTTCCTCTTCTCCCTTTTCCTTCTACCTCTCTTCTCTCGTGAACACTCTACACAAAGTATCAGATTTTGCTTTAAATTATTCATCAATGCTCTTTACCCACACTGGCCTGGTTTGGATGGGACAGATTATCCCTGATAATCTCAGAACTCTTCCTTCCTTCTTGTTCCCCCCTCAACATACACATTCACACATTGCCTTCGGTATGTCTAATTGGGACATTTCCTTGGGGGGGGTGGGATGGCTGGGGTACTCCAGGCCTATGGGGGACTCAGAACTGTCAAGGGAGAAGAAAAACCTACAAGGAAGGAATGAATGTAGAGCTACACCTGCATAGGCCTCGCTGTCCCTCACACAGCCTGGAGGTGGAGGTCGAGGATGGACTTTCGAGCATGTACAGCTGGCTGCCTAGGCCCTACCGTCCCCCTTCATCATATACCTCACACACACACACACACACACACACACACACACATACACACACACTACACACATACACCCACCCACATATGTGCCCCCAGCCCTGACCTTTCGGCTCCAGTAGCTATTGCAGACCCGGAGAGCCCTGGAGGTACTTGAGTTCCTATTGATGACCTCCTGGAAGTGACAACTGGCATTTCTGAAATGCAAGGAGCAGGAGAATGATGACTGAGGCCATGGGGTCCTAAAGTCAGGCATCAGCTCTGATCTCCAAGACTGTACATAGCCAGAGGCCCAGGTCAGTGTAAACATTTAAAAACATGGGGCGCCTGGGTGGCTCAGTCGTTAAGTGTCTGCCTTCAGCTCAGGTCATGATCCCAGGGTCCTGGGATGAAGCCCTGCATCGGGCTCCCTGCTGCAGGGAGCCTGCTTCTCCCTCTCACACTCCCTCTGCTTCTGTTCCCTCTCTCCCTGTCTCTTTCTCTGTCAAATAAATAAATAAAGTCTTTAAAAAAAGCATTTAAAAATGTGCCCAAAGCATGCACATGCTTCCCTTCCCCCATCTCTTTCTCCATCTCTCTGTCTATGTATATATTACTAAATAGCATGGGGCTCTGTTTAGAGCACCTCTTCTCTCCTGATTCCCAAAGAGAGAGTGTATATATGTATGTTAAAACATTTTAAAAGGATTTTTAATTGTTCTCTTGAAATTACTTGTCTATGGATAAGTCAAATGCTATGATTTCTTGGCTATGATTAGGCATATCCAAAAATTGTTCCAGAGTAAGAAAATCTAACCTATGAATTGTTTTTTTTAAAGATCTTATTAATTTATTTGACAGAGAGCGCGCGTGTGCAAGCGCATGAGCAGGGGGAAGGGGTAAAGGGAGAGGGAGAAGCAGACTCCCCACTGAGCAGAAAGCCAGACTGACGGAGGTGGGGCTCAATCCCAGGACCCTGGGATCAAGACCTGAGCCCAGGGCAACTGCTTAACCGACTGAGCCACCCAGGTGCCCCTAACCTACAAATTGTTTTAAATTATAATGCAATTATAAAAATAAACTGACATGTTTTGTTCCATATACATTTAATTAAATATGTATATTTTTAGTTTAAATTTCCCTTTTCCTTATTTTGGAGTCAAAATTTCTCTTCAGCTCTCACGCTTTTTTTATTATAATTCCCTAGAAAGGCTTGCAAGACCCAGGTCCTGTGCTTATAGTTAAAAATGCCCCCAGTGTAGTGTCAAGACCTAAGATTCAGACCAGCAGGCTTTGCGACTCACCCTCTGAGCCTCAATTAGCCTGTGTTTAATTGGGGGGTTAATATATACACCAGCTGTAGGAAAATGGACATAAAGTGCTTCAAAACCACAACGATGTCTTTTTAAACAATTGTTCTTCCCCCTCCAAATTCACTCTTCTCTGGGGAAATTAGCACACTTCAGACTGATAATCCTTTCCTGAGGGCAGATTTTTCTCAAATGACATCCCCATTCCTCCCAACACACAAATGTTTTCGCTTTGCCCTCACCTCATGTAGACCCCAGGAGGCACCATGGTGGAGAAGAACTGCTCAGAGGCCACCAGGAACTCTGGGGAGATGCTGGGGTCCAGGAAAGGGCTGTATCCTGGGGGAAGGGGAGAAGAGAGAGGATAGTAACACTGAGCCCTTAAACCACCCACCCTCCCTCCCCCTCCCCAAAACTCCTGCTAGCTCTCCCATTCTCCCTCCCCATCCCCTTACCTGCATACTTCGGGGGTGTTTTCTGCAGGAAGCTGGGCAGCCACTCATACAAAACGATGTTCTGAGGGTCAACAGAGGGCAAAAGGGAGGCAAGTGCTGGAGCAGCCACGCTGGGAGGGTCTGAGCCCCAGGAAGGCTTAGGTGGGAGGTGAGGGCCAGGCAGGGGCAGTCAGCAGGGAGGCGACCCCAACAGGACAGGGGCGGACGCCTGTCCCCCACTAGGAACACGGGATGGGCGTGGGCTAATAACTAATAACCACAGCCAAGTCTCGTGTGTGACGCTCCTTTGCCTGCTCTTCATCCTCGGGGTCCATTCCTAGACGCTAGCTCCAGTTCTGGGGAGCAGTGTCCTCCCGGAAAAGGGCGCTTCTGGGGGCTGCTGGCGCGAGGATGGAGGGCCCTGCGGGGCAGCAGAGTCTCGCGCGCAGCCGTCGGGGGGAGGGGGCGGGGAGAGGGCGTGTGACTGACCTGGTAGGTGGCGATGACCCTCTTGCGCGCGTGCTGGAACAGCTCCTCGTCCCCCCACTGCGGGTGCTCGCGGGCCAGCCGCTGCGCGCACAGGTTGTGGTAGCGGAACCACAGCAGGCCCAGCGCCTGCAGGAACGGGTCGCGGTTCCCTCGCTCCGCCCCGAAGGCTGCACGCGACGCGGGGCCGCAGGGCAGGAGAGGAGCGGCGGTGTGACCACCAGCTTTGCCGCCCGCAGCCCGCGCCCCGCCCCGCGCCCCGCGCCCCGGCCGCCGCAGCCCGCCCCGCGGCCTCACCGTACAGCCCCCCGGGCCCGCGCTGTCCGGTGGCGGGGTCGGGCGCCGTCCACATGAGCAGGGGGCTTTGCGCGTTCCGGGGGAAGGCGGGGTCGGGCCCCGACGCCAGCTGCCCCCCGGAGAAGCTCCGCAGCGCGTCGCTCCACGAGTGCGAGGAGCCATAGATGGCGCTGCCGTCCAGCCAGCCCGTCGCCTCGTTGGTCTGCGGGGGGCACCGCGAGGGTGAGCCGGGGGTGAGCCGGGGGTCGGGCAGCGGAGGCGGGTGTCGGTGCGCCAGGGGGTGGGAGCCTCTCTCCCTGCCCCGCCCTGCCCTGGCCTGGCCGCGAACCCGGGACCCCGCCCGCCTCGTCTCACCAGGTCCCGGGGATTACTGGGGCTCTGTCCGGTCTCGGGGTCCCAGCGGCTCCTCTGGAACGGGAGGACCACGTCCCCGCGCCGGTCGGGGTCGAACACCGGGTCCCCGGGCGGGATGTGGATGTTGAGGAACTCGGCTGGGCAGCCGGGGGTCTCCACGCTCACCAGGTCCGAGAGCACGTGGTAGCCTGTCCGCAATGGGGAGGGCGTGCAAGGACCAGCTAAGGACCATTCTCCCTTCTGCATCAGGTATCTAGCCCTCCCCGACTACCCTTGAAGCTTCAAAAGACTCCTCAGCCATTTTTGGCAAGTCCAAGCCTTGACCTCCCCCACCCTTCCCAATCCTTTGTTACACCCTGGTCCATACTGTTTTCATTGTCAGTTTGGTCTTCTCCTTGGTAACTGGGAGGTGCCGGGTGAGTGTGCCTAGGCAGTCAGGCTGGGAACACCTGCTCTAACATGCAGCTGGGAGCAGCCTGCCCAGAGAACCTGCCAGGCTCACTACAACACTGGACACTGGGATTCAAATGTAGGCACCCTGGGTGGCCAGCAGGAGCCCGGCATTCCTGCTGGGAGCCAACAACCCACAGTCACTGGGGTCCAGCCACCCACCCTAGCACCCCCATTTTGACACCATGCCCACCAGCCCTCTTGTCAAAATCAGAATCCTGCCCTAAGACTGTCCTAGGAGTCACAGCGGGCAAAGAGTGAGAACAAAAGTCCCTACGAGATTATTGTCATGCTCCTGTCTCTACCTTCATCAACAGCTCAATGTGGGGCAAAATTATGCCTCCCCCAACCAGACTTTTCTCCCTCTACTTTTTCTTCCCCAGAAAAAGAAATACAAGACATAGCTTTCTTGACTTAAGAAAAGTCATTTTAGGCCCCAGACATCTTATGATTTATGCCTACTTGCACAAAGCACATTCTTGAGTTATCTTTGCAGGATTTAAACCCCTTTGAGCACTCAGATATTAGAGCAATTAAAAGGCAGACAATTGATGCCAACCCTTGCTGGCCCTTGTGACTTCCATCAATTAAGACCTGGACTCTGTCACTCCGAGATGACTTTTGCCTAAATTCTAGGCTTATTCCCCATTGGACAAGTGCCTTCATGAATGCATATGTACCCTTACCTTAAAACTTCCCCAGTTTTATTATTTGGGAAGACACTGCTTTAGGAAATATTCTCCATGTTTTCCTTTACTTGTTCTAAATAAAACTCTTCCTATTCTTGTCTTGGTTTTGTCTTTTGACTCAATATCCACTGAGAGGCAAATCCAGTTTTGGGTAAGAATACCCCATCCCATTGCCTCCCCCTCCATCTCTCACCTGCATCTCTAAGATCCTCCATCACTTCTCTCCCTCACTCCCTGACTCCCCCCCTCAGACATAGAGGTGTCCAGCTGACCCTACTGGCCTCCCTCCCCCAGAGGTTGAGGGCCTCACCAAAGAAGATTCCCAGCACCGTTCGGTTTCGCAGGGAGGCCTGCCCTGCAGGGCCCCTCATGGCAGTGTTGCTAAGGTTTCTGGGGTTGGGCAGGTGGGGTTCTCTCAAGGGCTGGTACACACCATCTGCATAGCTGGCTGGGACCAGGCGCTGCAGCCGAGAGCCTGGGGTAGGAGGGGTAGGGACAAAGATAAATCCTCAGTGGGGCTCCCTTACCTCCTCTCTCCCAGGCTTCCCTCCATACCACAGATCCTAAAACCTTAAGAATGGATGAGCCTTTGCTGGTACCTGCCAGGCCTTGCCCCTTCGGGCACCCCTGCCCCTGGGGCTGTCTCTATTTAGCCTTCACCTACCTTTGCTGCCCCATCTGTGCTCCATGAGGTTGTTGTACCACCCATCAAATCGCTGCACCTCCCAGGAAATGGGGTTCTGAGCTCCTGTGTGAGAACAGAAGGAAGGGGTAGCTGGGCAAGTCCGGGCATGAGAGGACAGGCAAGCCTGAAGGATATGGCTCTTGGGAGCCTGGTAAGGGGAGCAGCAGAAGGTGGACACCCAGCACAGTGTGGAAGGTAGGGGACAGAGGGAGAGAACCGAGGACAAAGTGGTATCCAAACTCAAGCTCAGGGGGGAAACATGGCACCGAGCACTGAAGCAGTGTAGCCAGGGGTGGTGTGTGCTGACAAGTAACCTCAGAGAACAAGATGAAGCTGGAGAACAGTGGCGATGTGGAAGGGCATGCAGGAGCCTTCTACTGCCCTCATACCTCAGTTCCCTGGGGTGACAAGGCAGGACAGAAACCATTCCCAGCCCTAAGATACCATAGGGAGTAAGAGCCAGCCGCACCCCAAACGCCAACCAGGGAAGGAGAGGTCATTCTGTGACCACTCCCTGGGTAGGGGAAGTGTGGAAGAGGGGCTTGGCCCTCTCCTGCTGAGCAGAGCCCCCAGGGCAAGTGTGTGGGCCCTGGGGCTGTGGCTCTGGGGCCTGTTGCTACTCTGGTCTCTTTTCCAGTTTCTGGGGTGGGGATCAGATCAGGGACTGCCTGGTCATGGGATAACCTTGCCGCCTCCTCTTTTGAGGCATCAGGTTCCTCATGTAATTCCTCTTATTGACCCTATTATACTTTCCAAAAACTAGGATCTGGGAGGGAGCACTCAGTTGTTGAGGGAAGAACTCAGGCAGTGAGGGCAGAGGGAAGGGTCCGGAATCAGAGGTGGAATGGGGGTCCTTCTGGTCAGTAGATCAGATGACCAGTTAGATTCCTTTCCCCAAACTAGAAGGTAACAGGGCTAAAGCTCCCTCTCTGCTCACTTCATAGAACAGAACAAAGAAAAGGACCCTCATCAGCCAGCGAGAGACCCATTCCTGATTGTCTTTCCACTCAGACTGAGAACAAGATCTCAGAGCTCCCCTCCTGCCCCACACTTCCATGTGCATGTGCACACCCATGTGTGCACACTCACTCACCAGCAGGTCAGAGAAGGAAAGTGACTCAGGCCCTGATGTTTGAGCAAAGAACTCAACTAAGGATCCAGGACTTGGGGCAGGAACTAGTACAGCTATATACATGTGATCTCTAAAATAAGATGAACTGGTGGCAGAACAAGGTGGAGGAGGGCCTTTGGGAGGGAGCATAAGGGAGAATGCCTTCTGGGAATAAGTGGCAAGAGCCTACTAGAAAAGGAAAATCCAAGGTCAAGGCAAAGAGAGAGCTGGAAGGAATGGGAATGGGAACAGCTCTGTCCTGGGAGAAGCTGCAGGGATCTATTGCCCAGTCAGAATAGATCATTCCAAAGGTTTTCTCTGCTTCCCTTTCCTGTATCCTCCAACCCTTGATGATAAGGAACTGGCTATTTAAAAAAAAAAAATTATTTATTTATTTGAGAGAGAGAGCACGAGCAGGAGAAGCAGCAGAGGGAGAGGGAGAAGCAGACTCCCTGCTGAACAGCGGGGCTCTATCCCAGGACCCCGGGATCATGACCCAAGCCAAAGGCAGACACTTAACCAACTGAGCCACCCAGGTGCCCCAGGAACTGGCTCTTTTTAACCTAACTTGTAGCACCTTAAACCTACCTCCCTTCTCAGAGACCCAGACTTCAGAGAATGGCCTCAGATTCTAGTAAGAGACTGTCCAAAGCTGACAGAAACAAGACGAAATCGAATGGACCGACCATATTAGTGGTGGTGGTTGGTTGTGTTGGTTTTTTTTTTTTTCCCCCATATTGTTTTAAAACACTGGTGACTTCCCTTCAGCTTTGGGTCTAGTCTGACCACAAGATCCATTATTATCTTGTATGCCTCATCAGTCTTTTCCCACTTGGGATCAGGGGTCCTTACATTATGAAGAAAGAGAGAAGACAGGGGAGAGAGAAAGGGCCTCCAGACTGAGGAATGAAATAGGAAATGCTGACACAGCAGGATTCCTCTGTTCCTAGCTATACTTCTTTAATCTATACTTACCCATGGATGTCCATGACCCAACCAGGAGTGTCCATGCCAGAGCCAGGCAGAAGCCCATGATGAATATGATAATAGGGCTTAGGTATTAGAACACCCCAAAATGGAGACCCTAGAAAAAGAGGACAGGAAGAATGAGTCCCAGCAATTCAGAAGAGTCAGGCCAGGGCCTCTGCAGGCCCCTGTGAATCTAGGTGTGGCCTGGGCCAACACCACAGTGAGGAGCAGAGAGCAGGAGACACACTGTCTCCCAAGAATCTTTCATTCATTCAACAAACACTTGACAAGCACCCACTATGTATCAGGCACTGACCTAGGAAGTGGAGATTAAGTGATGAACAAAGCAGACAGAAATCTCTGACTTCCTGGACTTACCTTCTTAGATTAACCGAAAAACGTTGCTTTGGTCCAGCTTTCCAGTGTATGTTCCTTGGACAGAGCCTTGCTTGGGGGCCAGGACACTGAGCTGCTGCTAGTCCACGAGTGTGGTCTTAGGCAGGTCACTTATCTGATCTGGACCTTGGTTACCTCTTCCAGCAATGGGAGTAAACATGCCTGAACTGTCTATCTCCTAGCATGGTTGCCGGAATCAAACATCAAACCTGAGAATGAGGTTGAATTCAAACAAGAAAGGTGACAGGTGTTATGTAAATGTGATGTAGAGAGCGTGGCTGGAGCATGGCTCCTCTCAGTGGAATCAAAGAATGCAGCGCCAGGCACTCCTATGCTTGGTCCCAACTTTCTGCTCTCTCTCCCCAGGCTAACAAATCACCCAGGGACAACAGGGAAACAGAGGCAGCAGGGGACTCAGGCTGGGACTCCTGACCAGCACAGGGAGTGCCTCAGGCCAGTAAAGATTTTCTAAAGGCAGCATAGAAACTGGGGGGTGGGGGTGGGGGTGAGGCTGGGGAACTATCTAGTGGAAGAAAGTGGGAACTCAGAGAAAGCCTTATCTCAAACCAAACCCTCAGGACTCCTGAATAGGTTGTCTAGTCCCAGAGGAGGAGCCCCAGAGGGTGATCTCATCCCAACTTGCTATCTCCCATTAAACAAGTGAAAAACCTTAGGCCCTGTCATAACTCAAAAGCTCAGCCACTCTATCCACTCCATCCCAGAGACTGTCCAGATGGTGACCTTTGATAGTGTGTGAAGAGCAGGGTCCTGAATGGTTGAAGCCATAAGGATGGATGTGCTGAAGTGGCCACAGTGGTCCTTCCCTGATCTAGGATGCCCTGCCCCTTCCCCCCTACCACTGTGTCTTCAGGATCCTGGGCCCCAGAGACCACTCAGCCCACAAAAAGCATGTAGTGAGCTTTCAGGCCAGGCTGTGCAGATAAACCTGAAGAGGAATTGGGTATGCTTAATAACCACTCCTTTCGGGTGGGTAGCCACAGTGATTTATACAACATTGATTCAGTAACTTTCTAACAGCCTTGAGTGGAAGGCATAACCTTTTTTTTTTATTCTTATGTTAATCCCCATACGTTACATCATTAGTTTTAGATGAAGTGTTCCATGATTCATTGTTTGTGCATAACACCCAGTGCTCCATGCAGAATGTGCCCTCCTCAATACCCACCACCAGGCTAACCCATCCTCCCACCCCCCTCCCCTCTAGAACCCTCAGTTTGTTTTTCAGAGTCCATCGTCTCTCATGGTTCGTCTACCCCTCCGATTTCCCCCGCTTCATTCTTCCCCTCCCGCTACCTTCTTCTTCTTCTTCTTCTTTTTTTTTCTTAACATATATTGCATTGTTTGTTTCAAAGGTACAGATCTGAGATTCAACAGTCTTGCACAATTCACAGCACTTACCAGAGCACATACCCTCCCCAGTGTCTATCACCCAGTCACCCCATCCCTCCCACCCCACCCCCCACTCCAGCAACCCTCAGTTTGTTGGAAGGCATAACCTTATGACAGGGCAGTGAAGCCCCAGGCAGTGGCAGAACCAGGGAGAGAACACAGGCCTACCTTGTTCTTGTCCCACATGGCTACTTTTCCAGCCTGAAGTCCTACAGTGGTGACCCTGGGGTGGGGGAAATATAAGCCAAGGCCATAGCGATTCCAACCTGATCCCAAGGGAAGGTTGAGGGGCAGCCTGGACTCTAAAAGCCCAAAGTTCCCTCCCGGGCATCATGTGCTTGTGTCAGGAAGAACTCCAGAGAGATCCTTTAGGATCCTTTAGGCCCAAGCAAACTAGGCCACCCAACACTCCCAGTTCTCCAAGAACCTAAAACTTTGGTGGTGGGGTGGGGGAGGAATAGGCCTGAACCGGCTCCATTTTAGGGTCAGGCTAATAACGGAGGCGCAGTGGGGCCAGGGCTAGAATTCCTCTTCCCTCAGAAAGCGTGGCCGAGCTGGGGCACACTCGGCCGAAGCCACGCGAGTGGAGCTCCCTCCCTCCCCCGGAGCGCCTAGGCCCGCGGGCCGGAGAAGCCCTTCTGGGTCTGACCTGTGGCCGTGGCGTCCCTCGACCCCGGAGCGCGGATTGCCTCCCTCCTGGCTCGCAGCGGGGCCGCGACGCCCGCTCCCGGCCGGCTTCCTCCGCGGCGGTGCGCGGGGCGGGCGGGGCCGGCGGTGAAGAAGAGACGGCACGGCCGGGTTCTAAGGCGAGGCGGGGCGGGGCGGGGCGGGGCGGGGCGGGGCGGGGCGGGGCGGGGCGGGGCGGGGCGGGATAGCAGCCGGCGCGCCGGGGACCCGCCGAGGTGCTCCGAGGGGACCGGGACGCGCCAGGTGAGGCGGCGCTGGCTCGCAGGGCGCAGGCGGGGGATCTGTCCCGTCGCTGGCGAGGGCTCGGCTAGTGCGGCCACTTGGACAGCAAAAAGGGCAAGTCTGCCGGGACTGGGGTGCGGGCGGGGGCCAAGCGGGTGCGGGGGGACCGGGGAGGCGCTCCCCCAAACTCTCCACACCTTCGGAGCTGGGCTCCAAGACCAAGAGGATCGGTCAATGCCGGCAGACCAGGCCAGGCGTCCAAGCAAGGCCCTCGTCCTAAGACCCTGAGAGAGTCTGTGGCCACCACTCCTCCCCCCGCAGGGTTCCTCGTGAGCTCCCGGGGTCTCCGGCGCTCGAGCCCCGCCCGCGCCCCGCCGGTCCCCGGACTGCATCGCTAGGTTTGTGCCGGAGCCGCCCGGGGTTCTGGGCAGGGGGCAGGAGGAGGAGGGGCCGGAGGGATGGCTGCGGAGGGGACAGCTCTTGCGCGCCGTCCCTCCTCTGTCCCCGGCCGAGGACCGGAGGCAGCGCCTCAGAGCCTCGGGTGCGGTCTGAGAAGGTTGAGAGCGACTTGCAGGGGTGGGCGGGGAAGCACCCCGGACCCGGTTTGTCCGGTCGAAGCCTGGTCCTTCAGTGCATTAGAAGAGTGGGACGGGAAGCGGGCTCCGCCAAGAGAAAGGGAGTGCGCTTTCGGTGACAACGTCTGGACCCGGTTCCCGCCCTAATCCCAGCCCCAGGAGCGCTGCTTGTGAGGTTCCACAAGGACGAGGCGAGCGGCGGCTCAGGCTGCCACGCACGCATCGTTTGCGAGACGCGAAGGTAGGAAATGGTGGTCCGGGTGTGAGTGGCGGGGATGAGGCTGCTGGGGTCGGTGCGGTCTGGGAGGGTTTTGAAGGGGACGTCGGAGTGCCGCCACTGCCCCGCGGGTTCCCGCGTCCACCCAGGGCAAGTTCAGATCAAGTGGGAGTTCCTCAAAGAGAGCTTGATAAGAAATTAAGAGGAGGCCATCCATCAATGCCACTAGGTTTACAGACATGGACTCCTTATCTCGGCTTACCTGGAGCCTAGATGTTTGACTTGCATGATTCAGCACCCCCCCCCCCCCACCACCACCCCGGGCTCCTTACTCACCTCAGCCCTTACTGGGGATTCCTGCCTCAACCCACTCCTCAGATCTTCTGTTTCAACACTTAATTCTTTTTTTTTTTTTTTTAAGATTTTATTTATTTATTTGAGAGAGAGAGACTCAGAGAGAGAGCACATGAGAGGGGGGTGGGTCGGGAGGGTCAGAGGAAGAAGCTGACTCCCTGCCGAGCAGGGAGCCCGATGTGGGACTTGATCCAGGGACTCCAGGATCATGACCTGAGCCGAAGGCAGTCGCTTAACCAACTGAGCCACCCAGGCGCCCTCAACACTTAATTCTTTCCTTGGTGCAACAACACACATACACATGTCCACATGCCTTCTTCATGAGAAGAGGCTGGGACAGGAGTGCCTGACAGGGTCCCTGTAGCCAGCCAGAGCTGTAAACTTTGAATGGGATCAACCCCAACCAAAGAAACAAAATATTACATTCTAGTAGCTGTGAATCATCAATCAGAGCTCGTGGCAACTCCAGCCATGTCACCCATTCCCCCCTTTGTAGAGAATTAGGAGTCTTTCTGGGTTCCAGAAGATGGGGGAGGTGGGCAGAGGGAGGCTACAAGAGGAGCCACAGAGCACTAAGAAAGCACGTGACAACTTTGCTGAAGACCCTGTACTAGGCTGAATTTTCTTAAAGACGCGTAACTTTATTTCTTGCCCACCCCTCATACACACATAGGAACCCCACTTCAACCTGAGATAGGTAAGGGTTAGGTAACTGTGTCTGAAACACAACTGAGCATTAGAAATGCTTCAGTATTTTAAGGGAGTTCAGAAAGGGAAAAGAGTGGCCCTCCCTTCTCCAGGACAGGGAGAAAGCGTGGGGATTGACCCAACCCATTGAGAAAGCACCTCAGTTTTGTCACCGGGGCCTCTGATTGAGGGCTTATGTATCTAGTTCTTTACGTTACTGAGAGCTACTTTCTTTTTGTGTCCTATTTCTGTTTACGTGAAACTGTGGGTGTATGTCTGACTGTATCTTGTCTTATTTATATCCATGTCCATTGTGTATACCTGTCAGTCGTGGTGGTGAGCTAGGGGAGAAGTGAGTGAAGACTGACAAGAGATTTTTCTCAGATTGGAAGAAATTCTACTGTCAGAGCCTCCTTGGCAAGCCAAGGAGGAAGATGTTCCAGAGGGAAACTACAAGCTTTGTAGGAAAAGCAGGATGGCTGGGCATGAGGACTTTCATTTCAGTCCCACCACTTCATGCAGGAGGCCTGTTACCTTAATAATTAAAACTAATTTGGGATCAGCGTCATCCAAAATTAACTTTAGATTAGGTGATGTAGATTAAGGAAAACCTAATTCATTAAGTTAAGCAAGAAGAAATTAAAAAAGGTGAATTTTATTCACCAACTATCTTTTTTCTTTAGTCATCTTTAATAAGTATTCTGGAGAATTGGAAATAAGTTAACATTGTTCTTTTGTACTTACAGAGCCTTTTGTTAGTGTTTCTTTGAAGCACCATGTTAATAGAGATGAGCCATTCTTGTAAAATATTTTATAACCTCCCATTAAAATATATGTAGGAATAATGCTAACATCTAACGCTAACCCAAATACATTACACTATTATTTGCTTATATTGCAAATATTTGTTTTTGAAATTTCAGCATATAATATGTATTCATAGGATCAGTAAACTTGCTTTATCTTCCTACCTTATTACCCAAGATATTCTACATTTTATAGCCTTTTCTAAAAAATATAGCCTTCCATCACAATTGTAATGGCTTCAGTCTAGGTGTCATTGATAAAAAATTGTTAGGCCAATAAATAAAATAAATATCATATCACTTATTATAAAAGATAACTTAATCCACACGTTCTTAGCTTTTTTTTTTTTAAAGATTTTATTTATTTATTTGACAGAGAGAGACACAGTGAGAGAGGGAACACAAGCAGGGGGAGTGGGAGAGGGAGAAGCAGGCTCTCTGCTGAGCAGGGAGCCCGATGCGGGGCTCGATCCCAGGACCCTGGGACCATGACCTGAGCCGAAGGCAGACGCTTAACGACTGAGCCACCCAGGCGCCCGCGTTCTTAGTTATTTATCTTTAGCTAGAGTTGAAATATATGTTTCAGATTCAATTAAACATGAACACTCATGCTTTGGATTCTAACTATTGTAAGAGGCTCTCTGAAAATTTTGTGAAAGCACTAAAAATGGGCAGGGTTGGTCAAATCCCTTCCTGCCCAATCCTTAGCCCTATATTCGTGACACTCAATTAATGTTGAATGAGAGTTTAATACTGTCTAGAGCACAGAGGGAGCATAGCTCCCTCTTGTGTGTGAAATAGAAGATGCTACCAGCAGGGAGAGGAACTCATTCATATATTCGTTCATTCAACCCATAGACTTATTAGTATATGCTATAAGCAGGGGATGCAAAGATGGAGATTAGAAGCTAATGGGGAGATTGATGTTCAAATAATTATAATACAGTGTAATTATTGTGATCGTGGAGGTATATTCAAAATGCAATCAGAATATTAGAGGTGGGAACATCCACACTGGCCCAATGGTTTCAGAGGAAACTTCACAGAGGGGGTAATACGAGCTGAGACTTGAAGGGTGAAAAGGTCTTTGCTAAGGGGTAAGAGCATGCCAGGCAGAGGAAATAGCATCTACAGAGGCATGAAGACTTGAAAGAGCATGTCAGATTCAGGGAGAGGCCAATAGTTGAGTATGGCTAGAGGTTAGGCTAGGCCAAAGATAGAGATGCAATGGTAGGTGAGATCAGATAACAGAGGATTTTGTATGTGATTGTGAGGTTAGACTTTACCTAGAGCAAAGAAGTAAAATGATTATATTTGCTTGTTAGAAAAAAAAATGTTCTGCCACCAGGCAAGATAGAATGAGGCTGAACTAGGGCAGTAGGGAAGGAAATGCATGGATAGCTTCAAGAAATGTTTAGGAGGTCAGATGGTCTAGCTTTCTGATTTATTTTATTGGTACAGTGGTGATGCCACCAAAGAGACAAAGAGAATAAAAAGCAGAGCAGAGAGAGTGAATTCAGTGTGGGACCTGTTAAATCCGAGGCATCCATGTGAAAGCCAAGTGAAAATGTCAACAGGGTAATTGGACCTTTTGTGTTTGGAGCGCAGGTAAGAGGTCTACCTGGAGACATAGATTTGAGATGCAACAGCCATGGAAATAGATGAGTTTACCTAGGGAATCATGAAGAGTGCTAGAAGAAAAAAGCCTAGACAGGCTCCTGGGAAACAGAAATATGTCAGAAGGAGGAAGGACTAGCGAAGGAGCCACAAAATGAATGGCCAAAGGCAGCAGACCCAGGAGAGCATAGTGTCATGGAGACCCAAGGAGGACAAGAAAGAGGGAAACTTCCACAATGCCAAATACCACAGGGAGGTCAAGAAGGATAAGAAGTGAAAACTTCCCTTTGGATTTAGCATGTGGTAACCTAATGGAAAAGTCGGAGACTTCTCAGAGACAAGCCAGATTGCAATGGGTTGAGGAGATAAAACAGTGAAAACACCAACATAGTCTATTCTTCCAGAAAGCCTGGCTGTGAAAAGGGGAGAGTGGGATAAGACAGTAGCTGGAAAGAACTAAGAAGTTCAAGGGACAGAGTCCCTTCTCTTTGTGTGCCTAAGATGGGAGAAATTTACACAGCCAGCAGAGAAAGAGAAGCTGAAAAGTTGTAAAGAGAAAGGGGATGACTAATGAGAAAGGTGGTAGTGAAGGCAGGCAGGATTGGAGTGAGAGCCTAGGAGGAAAAGA